CGCGCGCCCCATGCGTGGAGGCTGTAGTCCTCCAAGTGGGCGGCCCAGGTTCAAGTCCAGCCTGTGGTTCCTTGTCATTCCCTACTTTCTCTCTCCCTAATTTCCAACTCTTATAATCCACTGTCCTATCTCTCAATTAAAGGCACAAAAAGCCAAAAAAGAAATCTTAAAAAATTGAAAAATAAATATTCATAAATAATTTTGAAATTAAAACAAAAATATTACCTGTAACAAAAAAATAAATATTTTTTTTAAAGGTACTGTACAAGTTCATATCTAACAAGATTTAAACAAGAAGGATTGAATTCCATAAAAAAAAAAGAAGAATAATAGTAATTTGTTGTTGTGTTACCATTTGGAGTCTGTGACACCTCTGTGAAGTGTTTTTATGCCTTAACACGGTTTAAATATTTGAATTACTAAGTTTATTTTACCAACATGCTGTTAAAACATCAAGCCAAGAATTGTGTTTAGGACAGCTGAAAAGAGACAGGAAACGTTGGGAGGAGAGAGTGAGGGATGACATGCAGCAAAGGGCCGAGGCCTGATTCAAACCCACAGCCGCTGCAACGAGACCTACTGTATATCCTCTTCTCATGGGCCGCGCGTCATAACCACCAGGCTATATTCACAGGCCAAGAATTGAACTATTTGGACTCTACAGCAGCGATGCATGTAATATAAATCAAACCCGCATGAAAAATGTCCCACACACAAAAACTTGTCTTCTCTGATGGACTCAAAGTACATGTCGACATCTGTGCTGTCTCTCCTTCTGAATATATAAAGCTACCCTCCTTGAACAAAACAAAGCATTCAAGCCAAACTGAATAATCTAACACACCATGTGCCCACAGCAACAACCACATCAGCTATGTTCACAGTTGTAGAATTACATCCTGTCCTTCCCCCTACTTCAGCAGGGCATGAGAAGTTTGGAGCGAGCATCTCTCACCATTTTGCATCTGTTTGCTTCCTGTATATGGCGGGCAGTGTGCCTGCTTGTCTGGGGGAACCCTGGCTACCCTCTGTCTGCATGTGAACCATCAGATGACCCTAGAGAATATACAAAGGTGTCTGCTTTCAGGCGCTATCTGTGCCTCTGGCTGTAAATCTCTGCTGCATTTACACACCTCTATTTGTGCACAGTAGTGTGTTTATTTGTTTGACTGTTGGTCAGTTTACAACCAATTGTCTGTACCTCTCCCTTTGACCCCGGACATCCACATAGACCACATGCTTCGGATGCCAAGTCCAAACATGGCTTGGCTGTAACCTTACACCCACCATGTGGATCAGGGCATTAAATGTGTTTCATGTACACATCTTTGCCCTCTACCCGGGTAAAAGATCAGTGGGTCGGGTTGCTGACAACCAGCACATCCTGGGTTTTCCCTCAGATCCGCCTACCTGTCTGCATCAGTCATAATCATGTGAGATTAACAAATAATCAGGCGTTGTGGTTGGCTTACAATAAAGCATCAGGCGCACAACCTTTCTAATCCTGAGAGCTGCCTCTATTAATATAAGCATGAGTTAAGCCCGGGGGTTTGTGTGGTGTCTAAGTCAGCTTTTCACGTCATGCGATTGGATCTGGATTCACACAGTGTGACTTTTGAAAGGACACATCTCTATTATTGCTGATGTGCTTTTCAATGTCCTATTATAAGTCTGCGTATCTTAACACTTTCGTTGGAATAACAAGTCCAGATAGTATGTAGCAGAAAAGTGGTGGCCGGGGCTAAGGTATTTTTATGATCCTCTCCTCAGTTTGATGCTTAAAAAAAAAAGGTTTCAAAATCACGTTTTGTGGATCTAAAGAATGAAATGTTGATTCTGTGTTTTTTTTTCTTTTGTCATAGTTTGTGTATATTATCCTCAGTCTCATAAAATACCCTATTTGAAAATTTATGGCCGTTCCAACACCTTCCCATATTCATTATCGTGAAGAATTTTAAATTTGATCTCCAATTGATCAATATCTGTTTCAAGGTCCGGTGAGGAAATGTTGGTTTGCTTCCATTTGGTTGGACAGTAATTATTTATAATTATTTTCTCTGAGCAGATTTTGTCCTGTCAATGTGTCTGCACTGTTTCAAACTTAAAATCTCATTCTGATTTTTAACCCTTCAAAATCTTTGTCATGGTAACATGTAAACAAGTGAAGCATGTTTATCGGCACCTGCCCCGCCTCACTTGGTTCAGGCATTATTAATAACAACATTCCCTTCCCACCATGATCAAATCTAGTCACAGATGATCTTGTTTGCTTTTGTAGGTCATATAGAGGCATCAGTATCAGTTTTAGTCAGTTTCATAACCAGCGCCGACCTCCACCAGTTTACCACCAAGGCTCTCTGCATGTCTTGTGTTTGCTTCTTTTTGCTTTTTTGATCTCGCCTGCAGCGGTAGAGTGACTGCAGCAGAGTAAACCTGCTATTTGAGACGGCGGCTGTAGAAATAGATGGAAGCCACTCGGTAGACTAATGTATAATGTTGGACATATATCGTACAGTTGTCATCTGATCACACATCTTGTCCGGGCGCAGTGAGTCACTCCAGCACTTCAGTCTGCTTTTAGACAGCCACAAGCTCAGCCCTACTTCTCTCATGGATCCTGTGATCTAAGCCTGTTTGTACTTCATTAAAACATAGTGAGCTTCGAATGATTTACTCGCCTTGTTCAGCCCAATTAGCTGATCTTTTTTCCATGATCGTACAATAGTGGTTTGGATCAATATCCAGTCTTGATGAACAGATATCCATGTCTGAAACTCAGCTTTAGTGTTGTGTAAGTTTTAGGTGTTGTTGTTGTGCAAGTGAGGTTGGTTCCACGGCCTTGTTTAAACCCTATTGGACTCTATTTTGCATATTACCTCTGAGAAACACTTAATTTTGTCAAAAGTCATGTTTATGTGTTCCATGTACAGATTTAGTAATACTTCAGTTGCACATCAAGTGGTGTTACTCATTTCTGCAGTGAAGAAGAGAAGGCACATTGCTCCACTTTCCGGAGTGCAAAGCAGGGAATGCAAGGACAAGACAGAGGAGACATTTCAGGGCAGAGGAGAGATAAATGATAGCCCAACTGAAGGAAGAAGGGTCACTCCGCAGCCACAGTAACACTAGAGGCCTCTGGTATAAGAGAGGAGTAGATGTTATGAGGTCACTGATCTGCATCACTTTCCATTTTTGCCATAAACGCAGACATGCAAACTCCTCTGCAGCTCTCAGCCACGCTTTGAAGGGGCCTACCTGTTCTCTGAAACACTAAAACATGAAACACATGAGGTGCATGAGGTGAAGAATAATGAGGGAAGACAGAATGATTCATGAGTTGTTGGATTTAAGGTGAGAAAAGTCAGAATAAAAGTCCAAAGCTGTGGAGAGCAATCATAGTCAGGTTAAGTGATGGATCCACTTACATAATGAATGAGTAGAAAGAGCAGCTGAGAATGCAGAGTGTCAGGTGTGGGTTTCACAGGGGAGGGGGGTGTTTATCGCTGTAGTTACACCAGTCTCTCCGAGGTCCAGGCATTGACGAGGAGCAACAAATTACCGTCTGTTAGCGTTCTGTTTGTGGAAGTTGTGCGAGTCCACTCCTGATTGTGCTGGCCCTTACTCGAGCTGTCTTCTCATTGCCCCTTCAAAAGTCCATAACAGTGTTTTACTAATCACCATTTTTACAAATCTTTAAACTTCATAAAAACAAATGAATTAAACATTTTCTTTGTAGGCGGACATGTTATTTTTCTTAAGAACATAGATTTGCAGACTTTAACATAATCTCTTTAGTTGTGTCATGTGTAGCAGTCACGATCATGTTTGTGTTATTTCAATCAATCAATCAATCAATCAATCAAACTTTATTTATACAGCACCTTTCAGACAAATTAAATTGCAGTTCAAAGTGCTTTACAAGAGTGCAGAAAAGTTATTGACGAAAAAAGTAGTTTATAAAATCATTGAGAGACTAATGCACAACAATAAGAATTAAAAAAATATGTATAAAAATTAAATACGACACATAAAATCAATAAGATATTAAAATTAATACATAGGAGAAGAATATTTAAAATTGTAGTAGGATAAAAAAGACAAGACAATAATGTTAAGATTCAAATTTCAATATTCTGGGCTCCTCTCAGACCCTCAGGAAGGTCGTTCCACAGTCTCGGAGCGTAACAGCTGAAAGCAGCATCACCAAAGGTTTTTGTCCTGCTCTGTGGAACAACTAAAAGAGAAGAACTGGAAGATCTGAGGGGGCCGTACTGGTTCATACACTAAAATCATATCTGATAGGTAGTCTGGTGCAAGGCCGTGTAATGCTTTATAAACTAATAAATGTTTAATGTTGAATGGTAGGGGATGTAATTTGACTGATTGTAAGTCATCACCAAATGCTTTTACAATAACTTTGGAATAAATGAATTCAGACAATAAGAATAAGTAACCATGTTCTGAAATGTGAAGTGTAGGTAAGCAAATTAATTTAATTTAAAAGAAGTAATAACCCTACATTGGTGAGGAGCATTATCCCATCTAACAGATGAAGATTGAGTGACTCTGTTGGGATAAGTAAACATATAGTATCAATTAGGTTTTTAATATTTAAGTATACATAACACAACATACATTTGATGGTAGTGGCTGCATCTAAACACATTATTTATAGTCATACTGTATTGAAAGGGCCTATTTTTTTCATACATGCTGTTGACAAGTTTCCCTCTTCACTACTCTTTAGAAAGCATGACACTGCAGTCAGTGTGTTAGGTATGCCTGTACCTAATTTCTAATCATGCTAGATTTAATCAAAGCTGTTATAAAAGCACAAAACATTGTTTGCCTGAATAAAAAAAAGCAGGCATGGCAGGGATAACAAGCTGCACATAATCAGATTGACGGAAATTAAGTGGTGGTTAAAAGCCATGATTGGTAGTAGCAAAAAAATACTGTGTCCAAAAGTGAAATAACAATGATATGTGTTTGTGCTGCAGGATGACCAGGTCGTACTGCAGTGTACTGCCACCGTCCTGAAGGAGCAGATTAAGCTCTGTCTGTCCTGTGAGGGCTTCGGGGATCGTCTCTGCTTCCTTGAAACCACATCCAACGCTCAGGTAAGATGCTGAATGCTTCCTTCCGTTTCTGTTTGTCTTGCAGTATATGCCATACATGCTGACCTTGATTAACCTGCTTTGTTCTCTACCTCTGTGCTCTTGACACATTTGCAGAATGTGCCCCCGGACCTGGCCATATGCAGCTTCATTCTGGAGCAGTCTCTGTCGGTCCGTGCTCTGCAGGAGATGTTGGCCAACAGGGTGGAGATGATGGACGTAAGATTTGAACAATGAAATAGAGAAAATGAGTAATTAATTGAAGACTTGAAGCGGATTGAGAAAAAAAACATTCTTTTGCAGAGTTGTGAGGGATCAGAAAGGTGCGCAGGAGAGAATTGCTCATGAATGTCAAATCGTAGAGAAATCGTTGGTGAAAGGAATTGTCCACATCCGTTCTGCCTGATAAAAAATGTATCAGAAGTTTTTTTTTTTATAATGAATGCTGCTCTGCCTTTCTCCTGTCCTTTCCACTTACACAAGATTTTATTTTAGAGTTTGACTTTGTATTGCTTACTTTTCAACTTTAAGATCCAATTTGCAAACCTTCTATCAACTATTATTTTAAAATATTACATTTACAAGATTCTGCCTTAGATAAGGAATACATGGATATAGAAAACATGTGACATTTTTAAATTGAATTGCTTTTTTCAATTATTTATATGGCTTTTTTTTTTTTAGCAGTAATGCGGTTCTAGTTTTATGTAGCCGGGCTTCTTGTTCTTTATAAATGACGCACTGATTAAGTCTTTAAACATAAATACAATAACTGCTGTCTGGCTTTAAAGCTCATCATAAATCTTACTCTTCATCAACATCCTTCAGGCTACTTGGGAAACAAAAGATCGACTTATTCTTTGCTTTTTAATTATTATAACTTTTTTTACTCGTTATCTGACATTCCATTCCCTCCCTTCCTTCTTGCTCTCTGCCAAGCAGGCAGTCGATTTGGACAAATGGGTATGTCTGCTGACGTGTATGACTTTCTGTAACGTGTGTCCCAACCAATCTGGCAACTGTCCTCGTTCCTGATTTCCTTTTGGATGAAATTGTGCTGCATCATTCACATGTCTCTAATTTCTATTCATATCTATTATAGCCTCACTTTAAGGAGATTATCACTCTTTTTACCTATCAGTAATTCTGAGGTACTACACATGGAGTCAAAATCATTTAGATTACTCTTTAAAGAAATATATAGTTACTGGCATCATTCTTTTTCATTTCCTGCTAAAAAATGTACCAGCACATTTATTCTGTTTTTGTCATGCCATGAATACTACCATACCTTTGATGTCAGTTATGTTCTTCCAGCACACTGTTGGTTGTCTTCAGAGTTTGTTTTGCACATTTCTGTAGACATTTATCAACATAAGTTGTTTAATACTGCAGCAAAAATACTACTCTAGAAACACAGTATTGTGGTTTAATGCACAGTGTGTCATCGACAACAGGGTACAAACTATTCTCCTATGAGTGAGAAACCTTTTTTTAAATAGAACATTCCTGTTTAAAAAAACAACTCCCTTTTGCACTAATTAAGACGAGAGAAAATATGAAGTCAGGCTGTGCAATATGTCGCATTGAAGGCAGCGAGCAGCGTTGAACTGCTAGTCTAACAACGATGATTTTAAATGTATTTTAAATATGTACAATTTTTTTTTTTTCTGAAGGCCTCATCTCACTTAGTTTACTTGGAAGTTGAACATGGATACCACCTGTCATCCAGTACAACAGCACAGACTTATTTAGCTCACAATCTGAACAGAAAACCAATATATCATCTTTGCAAACCTTGCCTGACTTATACCGCTGAAAAGTAAAGGTGGCTTTAGGCTCTCTGTTTAAGTCTCTTTATGCTGCATTTGAATCGACACAATATTCTAGTCAGTTCGGGTAGTTCCTTGCCACACAGGAGCTGGATGACATGGATGAGCCAGACGTTTCTAATGATGAGCAAGTGGATGAGAATAGCACGGCATGCAGCACAGTTAAGGGTCCAACCCTCATCTGTTGGGGTAGAGGGGGGAAACCAAACACCCCCCCAGAGCCCCCGACAGGCCTATCTCTCTCTTAACTCACAAACACACACCGAGACCCACACAGACACACACGATGTCTGTTCTAACGAGGACCCTTATTGACAAAGGCACTGCCCAACCACATGCTAATGCTAAATGTAAACCTCAATCTAACCTGAAATGTAAAACCAAGACCTTAAGAGCTACCGCGCTGAAATGTTCTTAATACGCTTTTATAAAACGGACATAGGTCCTCACAAAATTAGCAATACAAGGCCGCACAGAAACACACATTTGGAAAATCAAACCAGACCTGTATTCATCCTAGTGGATTGTGGGTGCATAACCCTACAGAAAGTGTTGGTATCACTTAGCACACCATACTGAATGGTTTTTATAGGTTTTTTTTTTTAATCTATAACTGTTCTAGTAATTGTGTTTTCTTATTGCATCCTTGCTGGATGTTGAGAAAAGGTAGGATGGTTTAATTCTAAGTGTGACACTATAATCTGTGGTGAATTGCTTCAAAGTTTTCACTTTGTTTTGCATTCGATGAAACTTCATCAGTCTCATTGTGTTGATAATTTCTATAACAATCAGGGTCTTCAGTATCTTCCAATTTCATCTTTATTTTGATTATTCTTTTGTGTATTTACATTTTATTGTACTAGTATAAAATCATCCTCAAAATGTTCTGTACAGTGTTTGTTTTGTTAAAAAAAGAAGGCGTCATTGCTTACTGTTGTGGATCTTAATCACTTATATTGCCTAATTACTTTTTGGGAACAAAATGACTCTCAAAAGTTTTTTACTTTCACCTAGCCCATTAGTCTTCTCCGTCCCATTTCTAATCATGTGTGAATCTTTATCTCTGAATAAAATTAACAGTTTGGACTATTACTTATGTGCTCTCCTCCATCACATGTAAAATGAATCTTATCCCCATCTGTTCCAGGTTTATTTGAACTGTATAGTCAGTCTTCTTTGGCTGGTCTGATTCATATTTTCTGTCTTTCTTCCCCCCCCCCCCTTCAGTCGTCTCAAGGTGGAGGCCATCGTACCTTACTGTACGGTCATGCCATCCTTCTGAGACACTACCACTCTAGCATGGTAAGACAAAGTTCACTTAAAGAAAGGAGAGGTTAAATGCTGTAAAAAAGTTCTTTTCATTTCTAAATATGACATTTCATCCCCCAGTACCTGAGCTGTTTGACTACATCCCGGTCTCTAACGGACAAGCTGGCCTTTGATGTGGGCTTACAAGAAGACTCCACTGGTAAAATCTAATTTACATTTTCTTTTTTTTAAACAGTGTTGGGTGCAACACCATTGTTTAATCCTGTATGTACATGATCATTGAAAGTAATGCATTTTGTAGCATGGCTCTATTGTTTATACTTTTTTTTATTTTACAGATTTAGACTGCTCAGTACTACATATATATCTGTGTTTGCAGTGATTTCTGTCATTTTTTTAGTCTGGCTAAGATATCTCATCATTGTCAGGACTGTATGTCTGAGTGAACTGTGAATAAATCTCCCAGGAGAAATGCAGATAATTCTTGTTCTTATTGCAGGTGAGGCGTGTTGGTGGACCATTCATCCAGCCTCTAAACAAAGGTCTGAGGGTGAGAAGGTCAGGGTGGGTGATGACCTCATCCTTGTCAGCGTGTCCTCTGAGAGATACCTGGTAAGACCGCTCACAGCCCCAGTCTTTTGTTACACAGTAGATGATTTCAACATATATATGCTGCACTTGATATTTTATCCCTTTTCTTCTTGTCGTCAGCACTTATCCTACGCCAGTGGAGATCTGATGGTTGACGCCTCCTTCATGCAAACACTGTGGAACATGAACCCAATCATGTCTGGCTGCGAGCTAGCCGAGGGTACAGATATTCAGACATTTTCCCCTTAAGCCAACAAATCCGTACAGCCCTGGACACCCGCCTAACCTCCACTTACAATACAAAGCTGTTCAATTTATTTGGTATTTCAAAATGTCACCTTTAAACCTGGAGAAATGGTGGAATTTTGAGCTATTATATTTGGCTCTTATTTGTATTTAAATGATGTAAATATGTTTGATCTGTTTTTAACTTCTTTTTAACTATTTTTATGTTTAATAAGTATATTCCCGTCTCCTGTTTTCTGGAGCTGCTGTAATGCACAAATTTCCCTCACGGGGGATCAATAAAGTTTATCTTTATCTTTATATTCTGTACATTTAAATCATCCAGAGAGTAATACATATCTTGTGTGTCTCTCCTCTCAGGGTTTCTGACAGGAGGTCACGTTCTCAGGCTCTTCCACGGCCACATGGACGAGTGTCTGGCCATCTCCACACCTGAGGAAGGTGAAGAAAAACGAAGGTGAGAAGAAAACCGATCACAGAGATTTTTAGCTGTAAAATGTCCTCTAAATCTGATATTAAAAAACTATTCTATGTGTCTGTGGCCTGTCTCTGATACAGGATGGCTCACTATGAAGGCGGCTCTGTGTGCAGTCAAGCGCGATCCCTGTGGAGGTTGGAGCCTCTCAGAATCAGGTGATAGTCTTTTTGGTGCAATGACATAATACATGTTGGATTTGCTGTTCTTATTGACTGATTTTGTGATTAAAATTCTGTGTTGGAAAACATTTTCTTTCCATCTAATTATGGAGAACAGTTAGCTTTTTAAATATCCTTGAATCTACATTCTTCAGTTCTGTGTTCATTGCCCTTTTCTAGATTAACAGAGAAAAAATGTGAAACTTGCAGAGTCCTTAATATTTCTAGAGCTCTAAATATCCAAATGTCCTTGTTGTGTGTTGACCCGGTTTCTCTTTATGATCACTAAAAAACAAAAAACTATTGAAACATCTATTAAAACATGTATTTTGTTGTTATTTTTTACTTTCTTAATTTTTTATTTAATTTTTTATTTTACAGGGACATTGCATATTAATAAACATTTCTGTAAATATGCCAGAGTTAGCCAAAAGACTAATTTTCATCTGTTGTCCCTGGCCAGATTTTATAAAAGGCACCCTAAAAAAACCAAATTCTAATAGCGCTAAAAGCTACAAATAGAAATATCATAACAGTAATTAAGCAGACAGGTGAGCAGCCACAGGTGAAAATACATAAACCATGCAGGATACACATAAAGCAGCATTTGGTTAATATAAAAAATGTGTATCATGCAGGACAGACATGGAGCAGCATTGAGCAGACATAACAATGTACCAAAACAACAAGTATTAGTAAGAGCATGTATCCAATAACCTACCAAAGTAAATGTAAATGTTCTTCCTGCAGCTGGAGTGGTAGCCATATGAAGTGGGGGCAATCTTTCCGTATTCGCCACATCACCACAGGCCGGTACCTGTGTCTGGATGAGGAGAAAGGTCTGTTGGTTGTCGACCCAGAGAGGGCAAACACCAAACTATCTGCTTTCTGCTTCCGTGTGTCAAAGGTCAGTGTCCACATTTTGAATTGAACACTTTCCTCTAGTTGTGTCTGTTGTTTTATTCTCTCATTGACCTTTCAATTATTTTCCCTCCACTTCTTCTCTTTGTTCTGGTTCACCTGAGCAGGAAAAGGTGGATGTGGCTCAGAAGCGCGATGTTGAAGGAATGGGCATTCCCGAGATAAAGTATGGAGAGTCCATGTGCTTCGTCCAGCATGTGTCCACCGGCCTGTGGCTCACATACGCCGCCCTGGATGCCAAAGCTGCTCGTTTGGGAATGATGAAGAGAAACGTAAAAATCTAATTTCAGACAGATAATTAATGATTTGGAAAAAGCATACCACAAGGGGAATGTCTGAAACGAACAGTCAAGAGTTGGGCTTTTATCTTTGGCCTGCATGAGATGAATCAGTTATGTTTTAATGTGATAAACAGACAACAGCTTTACAAGATAAACTTACTCGTAAAGCACAGGAAACAGCCACCAGTAACAGACCTGGTAGAAGAATTAAAGAGAACATTAGGAGATTTGATCTGTAATGTGTTAACCCCCCCAGGTCATTCTGCACCAAGAGGGTCATATGGATGATGCTCTAACGGTGTCCCGCTCCCAAACGGAAGAGTCCCAGGCTGCTCGAATGATTTACAGCACTGCGGGCCTCTTCAGGCAGTTCATCAAGTAGGTTTATGCATTCGGAAAATTGAGTGAACGAGCAACAAACTCTGTGACATGATACAGTGAGGTTGCAGTGGAAATAGTCTAATTTTCTTCTCATTTAAAAAAATAGGCAGCAACATCATTTTTTTGAGCGCTTGTTTATTTGATTTGGTCTGAAAACATGCAAACTCTGAAAAAGGGATAACAACGTTGCCGGTTTACTTGTGATCCTCCAGGGGTTTGGACTCTCTGGGTGGGAAGAACAAGTCACCAGGGGCCGTGTCACTTCCTCTAGAGGGGGTCATCCTCTCTCTTCAGGATCTCATCTTCTACTTCCGTCCTCCCGAGGAAGAGCTGGAGCACGAGGAGAAGCAGACCAAACTCCGCTCGCTCCGCAACAGGCAGAACCTCTTCCAAGAGGAGGTAATCTGCATGCTGCGAGCACAACTTAGCGTCAGACAACAGTATCTATAACTTCATCTATGTGCTCCTGTAAAAAAAAAAAAAAAAACTTTGCAAAAGAAAAACTTGAACCTATGACAACACTACATATACTATATCATTTACAAACAGTCTGTATTTGGAAGTCATCATGTCAGCACCCATACAAAGTGAAAAACAAAACAAACAAAAACATCAAAAATCGTCACCATGTGTACAACCTATCCCACCAGTTTTATTTTACATACCGTAATTGTGTTACCATGTTTTTCTTGGTCCTGTTTGCTCATTTGCTTATTTTGTCCCTCTTTCTAATTCATTCGTTTTATTTACTGACCCTTTTCCTTTTGTTTTGTTTGTTTGTTTATCTCTTTTTTATTATGTGAGTGTGTGTATGCATGTTTTGGTGAATACAAATTTAACAAAATAAAACAAAAACAAAAAACACTACATATACTTACTTTTACAACTTGAATTGTTGCTTTCCTAAACATGTTTCCTGGAGGCTAACCAAAACTCTCCTCACAGGTTTCCTATCCTACATTCCTACTTAATCCCAACTTTACCCAAACCTAAACCTGTAACTGTTGATTTGACTACATTTGAAATCATTAACCCTCAAATATTCATCTTTTGTACTTGAGATAACAGATGATTGACCATAAGGTGCTTATTTGATACTTTTCTTATTCACATTACGTGATTAATTCTATGCTTCTATGTTTTGTCTATGCTTATTGGACCATCACAAATACAAAACTGTTTCTGTGTCTGTGTCACATTCATAACTGAGTCCTCTTTCCCAGGGAATGATCACCATCGTGCTGGAGTGCATCGACCGCCTGAATGTCTACAACACTGCTGCCCACTTTTCTGAATTTGCTGGGGAAGAAGCTGCCGAGTCCTGGAAGGAAATCGTCAACCTGCTTTATGAGCTGCTGGGTAAAATAATCCCTATATATCATCAGAATTTACAAATGAAATGCTGTCTGTACTGAAAGTCATATTTCACTCTCTCCCTTTCTCCAACAAACAGCTTCTCTGATTAGAGGAAACCGCTCTAACTGTGCGTTGTTTTGTGACAACCTGGACTGGCTGGTCAGCAAGCTGGATCGACTGGAGGCCTCTTCAGGTATCAGATGTGACTTCAGTTTTCACTGAATAAAAATCAGTGCTTATCTTAATTGACCAATTTCATGTAGGGGTTTTATTGAAACTATCTTATTTTATATGATCCTTATTTTTAATAATGGTGTACCTTCATTTAAAAGCTTTGTAAAAAAAGAAAGTAATTGATCATATTCACCTTTTTATCAATGTAGGTATTCTTGAGGTGCTGTACTGTGTGCTCATTGAAAGCCCTGAAGTTCTGAACATCATTCAGGAGAACCACATTAAGTCCATCATCTCTCTCCTGGACAAGCATGGAAGGAACCACAAGGTTTGTCTTTTCTCACTGCAAGAAACATGACGGGAAGGTAAAGACAGCTGATGAGATCAATCTGTCAGGTTTACCTACTTAACATTTTGGAGGCAGTGATTTTTTAAAATCAGAGCATCCGCTGAAGTTGTATTTGGCTCCTGACAGTACCTGCTTGTTGTGTATTTTCTGCTCTACTCTGACACACTGAAACAAACAGGTGATATAAATGTCTGCCTTTAGGTCCTGGATGTCTTGCGCTCTCTTTGTGTGTGTAATGGTGTCGCTGTGAGGTCCAACCAGAATCTCATCACTGAAAACCTGCTTCCAGGTCGCGACCTTTTGCTGCAGACTAACATTGTAAACTATGTCACCAGGTACTTGAACTTCTCTTAAGCTGTTTAATTCTACAGAAAACAAACACTGACAATGTTTTAAGTTATTACAGTGAAATGTCTTTTTTCTGTTAAAGTTGATTTGTTTTCTCTTTCCACTCAGTGTAAGACCCAACATCTTCCTGGGTACATGCGAGGGGTCTACGCAGTATAAGAAGTGGTACTTTGAGATGATGGTAGACTATGTGGAACCCTTTGTGACGGCGCAGGCTACCCACCTCCGCGTGGGCTGGGCTATGACTGAGGGCTACAGCCCCTACCCAGGAGGGGGAGAGGGCTGGGGGGGCAACGGTGTGGGAGATGACCTCTACTCTTATGGCTTCGATGGACTGCATCTATGGTCAGGTATGCTTGGTGATTAACTCTTCGGCTGTGCTGTCTTGCATTGTGCTGTGTGTCTTCTTTTACGACTTCCCTGTTCTCTCTGCTTTGTCACTCAGGTACCGTACCCCGCCAGGTGGCTTCGCCTGACGCACACAACCTCGCCGCAGACGATGTTGTCAGCTGCTGTCTGGATCTGAGCGTGCCGAGTATTTCCTTCCGTATAAACGGCCACCCAGTTCAGGGCATGTTTGAAAACTTCAATGTGGATGGCCTCTTCTTCCCTGTCATCAGCTTCTCAGCTGGAGTCAAGTGAGAATACAATTAGAATAAAGGGTGTTTTTTTATCCCCTTTTCCATTTTTTATTTCATTTATTTGGATTTTAAATTCTTTATTTAAACAGTTCTGAATGTTAGAAATATGATTGAAATGAATTTAGTCTAGTACTGAGGCAGATTTGCATTTCTCATTGTTGTGTCCGCTTTTACAAGTGTGTGATTTAAAACCAATATGAAGTCTGCTAATGAAGAAATAACATGCAAAGTGGTGAAGTCATCAAAGAAATAATTGGAAACTGGCAGATCATTTCAAACAACTAATTAAGCGTTCAACAGACTTTAATTTTATGTGTTTTAATTATTTTTATTTGAATTTTGCTCAATTAACTAAAACCCTAAAATACATTTTTAAAGCTGCCGTGTTTCCTCCCAGCGATGAGACGCACTGAACAGTGACTTGACTGACTGAGTGCAGTGAGGGAAACACAGGCTCAGAAACTGGCACACAGACTAAATCAATGTCTTCTTGTTTATGAGTCGTATAAAGATCAAGACACTGTTCACGTAAAGGACTCAAGTAGTGTGTAAAAACCTCTGTCGATTAGATAAAAGCAAGGTCTCACTCCTTTTCTGTCACCTCAGGGCTCGCTTCCTCCTTGGTGGTCGTCATGGAGACTTTAAGTTCATGGCCCCGCCTGGCTACGCCCCATGCTATGAGGCCCTGCTGCCCAGAGACAGGATGCGCATTGAACCCATCAAGGAGTACAAGCATGACTTTCATGGGGTGCGCAACCTGCTGGGTCCAACCCTGTCCCTCACCCACACCTCCTTCACCCCCTGTCCCGTTGACACTGTTCAGGTAAACACATAGTCAAAAGCGGACTTTGATAATGTTGAAATATCTGGTATACTAGTGTCTTTTTGTTAAACTGATTTTCCTTTGATGCACAGATTGTGTTGCCGCCCCACTTGGAGCGTATCCGAGAAAAGCTGGCAGAAAATATTCACGAGCTCTGGGCTATCACCCGTATTGAGCAGGGCTGGACCTATGGGTCTGTGAGTATGAAGTCTGCACTGCATTACAGAAGAAACAATTTATTTGAAAACCTCCAAATTGGATGACTTGGATTTTTGTAAAATTATGAAATATTATTTCTAAAAGCGACTATTTTGAAATAAAATTCCAACTTGACCTTTTTTGACATTCAGTATGTGACTAGTGTATTTATAAAGAAGGGAGTTATATAATCTCCATAATTATACATCATCTTATTTGACAATCAACAGTATTAGAAGAACAACATTATTTTAAATATCTGGTAAAAATGGAGGGATTTGGGGCGCTGGTGGCGCAGTGGTTCGTGCGCGCGCCCCATGTATGGAGGCTGTAGTCCTGTTGCGGGTGGCCCAGGTTCAAATCCGACTTGAGGCTCCTTTCTCGCACATCATTCCCCTCTCTCTTTCCCTGATTTCCGACCCTATCCACTATCCTATCTCTACAATAAAGGCACAAAAAGCCCAAAAATAAATCTCTAAAAAAATAAAAATGGAGGGATTTTGTGAAGGTTTAAAACACTTAATTGGACCTCATGACAATATTCATTTACAAAGTTCAACAAAGTTTAAATCCACAGATTTTCTGAGTACAACATGATGTCTCTCCACAGTTCAGGGATGACAACAAGAAACTCCATCCTTGTCTGGTGGACTTCCAGAGTCTCCCTGAACCGGAGAGGAACTACAACCTGCAGATGTCCGGCGAGACTCTAAAGTGAGTTTCTAACAGAGGTCTTCTAAAAGGTTTTAATTTAACTGATATTTGACCGTTACAGGAGGACCTGCTCATGTCTGTGGTCATGTCTGTGTTCATGTCTGTGTTCTTGTTTTCCCACAGGACTCTGTTGGCCCTGGGTTGCCATGTTGGTATGGGTGATGAGAAAGCAGAGGAGAATCTCAAGAAGATCAAGCTGCCCAAGACGTATGTCAACGAAGATCAATCTGGCTTTAAAAAACAAACTTTGTACCTGCTGTTTTATATTTATATGATGATTAACTTATTTCTCCTCAAGGTATGTGATGAGCAACGGATACAAGCCTGCCCCCCTTGACCTCAACCATGTCAAACTGACACCAAACCAGAACCAGCTGGTGGAAAAACTGGCAGAAAATGGGCATAATGTTTGGGCAAGGGACCGTGTAAGGCAAGGATGGACCTACAGTATTGTGCAGGTAAACATTTCCAATTCTCTCCAAACTCTTTATTTACTTTGAAGTACTCCTAGTCACATATTGTGTTATTACAGTTTTAAAAGTGTATTCTGCTGTGCATCTCAGGACATCTTAAATAAGCGAAACCCTCGTCTGGTGCCATACAACCTGCTGGACGAGAGAACTAAGAAAACCAACCGAGACAGTGTTAACAACGCTGTCCGCACACTCATTGGTTACGGCTACAACATTGAGCCTCCAGATCAGGAGAGCTGTGAGTCAGCTTACCTCTTATTAACATGTGTTGACTGACTGTGAGGTGGCATGCAAATTAATTTAACCCCACTTAGGACAATTCTTTATCTTCCTGTTTACTTTTTCTCTCTTTCCCCTTCAGCTGGCCATGGCCTCGAGAACACCCGCGGGGACAAAGTACGAATCTTCAGGGCAGAGAGGTCGTACGCTGTCACCCAAGGGAAGTGGTACTTTGAGTTTGAGGCAGTGACAACAGGGGAGATGAGAGTGGGCTGGGCTCGTCCCAGTGTGCGCTCCGACAATGAGCTGGGAGCAGATGAACTGGCCTACGTCTTTAACGGCAACAAGGTCAGTCAGCATCTTTAGGTTCACCTCGGTTGAGGCTGTGACGAGCAGGTGCCTATAAATGTCTAAAAGGAACTGTGGTGTGTGAATTTCTCTCCCAAACTTACAGATAACAGCTTAATAAGAAACAATTTGTCGATTCATAAGAATATAAAAAGATGATTACTTTGCTCATCAGACTAAAAGAAAATGGAAAATACTCGGAGATGTTAAGTCTCTTCTTTTGTGTGATTATTTGAAGATGCACTCAAGTGATGTCATGACTTAATTTGGAAGTTAGCAGGGATCGGTCCAGTCAGTGTACTCAAAATATGGTTTGAGTACATTGACAATGACATGATGTATATGTTTTCATTTGTTGAATGTGAATTTAAAGTTTCATTTCATTCATCATTTATTTACTTTACTCTTCTCAGGCTCAAAGGTGGCATGTCGGCAACGACCCCTTCGGTCGCCAGTGGCTGTCCGGTGATGTTGTTGGTTGTATGATTGACCTGACGGAGATGAACATCATGTTCACACTCAATGGAGAGATGCTGATCAGTGACTCGGGCTCGGAGATGGCTTTCAAAGACATTGAAATCGGAGAAGGTAGGAGTTAATGGCCATTGTACAGCTAGCATAAATGAAAAGGTATCGCTTTGCATAAAGAGTTGCAGAGATTGTAACTTCATAGTTAGAACACAAAATGTAAATAAAAAAACTAAACAGAAATCAGAATATTATTTTACCAAATGCTTGTCTGTTGTTTCCCCTGTAGGTTTTATCCCTGTGTGCGCCCTGGGCCTGTCACAGGTTGGAAGGATTAATCTTGGTCAGAATGTCAGCAGCCTTCGTTATTTTGCCATCTGTGGCTTACAGGAAGGATTTGAACCTTTTGCCATCAATATGAAGCGAGACATTACCATGTGGTTCAGTAAAAGTCTGCCCCAGTTTGTGCCTGCACCCACTGATCACAATCATATTGAGGTAATTATTGAGGGTACTTTCAAAGTTGCTCAAACTAGAAGTTTACAGCTAGATCATTTATTTATGGTTGAACTTGTTGTCTTCCAGGTCTCCAGAGTAGATGGGACTGTGGACAGCGCCCCATGTTTAAAGCTCACCCATAAGACATTCGGCTCGCAGAACGCAAATACCGATATGTTGTTCCTGAGACTCAGCATGCCGGTCCAGTTCCACGAGACCTTCAAGTTCCCGGCGGGCACCACCCCTCTTACCCGGGCCCTCACCATACCAGAGGAGGAAGTGATAGTGGTGGAGCCCGACTCAGAGTTTGAAGTCCTGAAAAAGTCTGCCAGCCGCAAGGAGCAGGAGGAGGATAAGAAGGAGCCGTCTGTAGCCAAGGAGCTGTCGCTGGAAAATGAGAAGGACACCATGTCGGAAAAGGGAAAGAAAAAGGGGTATGGGTTGCTGAGTATAAAAAGTGCAGATTATTATCTCCCTACTAAGTGTAAAATAAAGAATGTGCAACAAAAGAACAGCAATTCACCAATAAAACTCAGAGGAGCCGCTTGATTCTCTAAATGACATCGGGGTTTATTCACATGCCAGAAGTAACGGCTTCACTTGTTTTCATATTGTAAACTCTCTCTTAAACAGCGTCATGTAACTGCTTCATCCAGAAACAGCTAGACATCACTCAACAATGTTATTTTTCTTATTTTCTTTTCATAATTCACATAATTTGTTTGCAGTTATGGTCTTTGATACTTACCTCTATATCTAAGATGTATGGTGAAGCGTTAGAATTTATATACTTTTAGACTAAACTCCCTCTGTAATTTATCTTCTCTGAACATTAGATTCTTCTCTAAGGCCAAGAAGGTAGCCATGACACCTCTTGCCCCTCCTCCTGCCCCTCCAACTGTGCCTCGCTTGGTGGAAGATGTGGTCCCCGATGACAGAGATGACCCAGAGATCATCCAGAATACCACCACTGTGAGCTAAACATCCTCTGCTAATGCTAAATGTATAGCATAGTGGATATGAAAATATCACTTCAGCTTGTGCAAATTATGTGGATTAAACGTGCACCTGCAGAGCCTGCTCATTAGTGATGTATCATATTTCTCCTTCATTTTTTTTCTCTATTTTAAGTATTTCTATTCGGTGAGGATATTTGCTGGACAGGAGCCTTCTGGTGTGTGGATTGGCTGGGTCACTCCTGACTACCATCAGTATGATCCATCCTTTGACCTCTCCAAAGTGCGCAGCGTCACTGTTACCGTGGGAGACGACCGAGGCAACATACACGACAGGTTTGTTTTACCCACATTTTAATGATACTTAACAATAACAACAATAACAGTATTTCTGAACTTTCTAAGACTGTGTATGTATTGTTTTTTACAACTTGGTTAAAGATGTAAATAATGTAAATAGTAAAGTTTGTGTTGAGCTTTTTTAAAGAAGCAAGAAATAAGCAGACACATTGTTTTTATTTTTATATATCTAATAATTAGTGTCACTGCATCTCATGGGTAGTTGTAAAATATATTAGAAGGTATTTCATTTTCTGGTTGACATTACGTTTTTAGTGGCTTGTTAATTTAATAAGTATTTTTTAAAGAGCAGCACATTTATTACTACCACATTTAATACCAATTGACTTGAGTATTAAAGCAAAAACATTTTCTAGGACATAAAATCCTCAGAACGATCTGTTTTTTTTGTATTTTTTATTTTTATTATATATACTTATACTTTTTTTAAATGAATTTATTCATTACCTTTATTTTCTTAAGATTTTTTTTTTGTCTTCATTCTGTTTTAAATGTATGTTGCTTATAAATAACATTTTTAAATAATGTTCCTCTGCATAAAAATTCACGAGTGCAATTATTGTTACTATAATACTTGCTGAAAATCTCAATTTGAAAAATATATATATATATAAATATATATGTAAATTAAATCCTCAGAACTGTCTCCAGCTTGTTGTAGTTATTTGGTAAAAGTGAAAGGTCGACCTGTTAAAGGGATGTTGATGAATCCATTTGATTTATTCCCAGTGTTGTTTTGTTCATGTCTCTTAGTTCTCTACAACACTTTTCAACAACTGTGATGTGTGTGCTGTTATTTTGCAGCATGAAGCACAGTAACTGCTACATGGTGTGGGGAGGGGACCTGGTCAGCACGCAGCAGACCCGCTTCAGCCAGGAGGACATGGTGGTTGGCTGTTTGGTCGACCTGGCGACAGGACTCATGACCTTCACAGCAAATGGAAAGGAGATAAACACCTTTTACCAGGTAAAGAAGACGACTCAGTGTCCGTATTAGTATCTTTGTTTTTCACATGTCACTTCAAATGAGTCAGCGTGTGTTATGCAGCTCTAAAACAAGAGGTGTTTTATTTCAGGTGGAGCCAAACACCAAGCTGTTTCCTGCCGTCTTCGTTCAGCCCACCAATCAGAACCTTGTGCAGCTGGAGCTGGGCAAACTCAAGGTCAGGGACTCCTTTTACTCACACATTACAGTGTAGATGTTGAAATATTTAAGCTTCTTCAACTACCTTTCTTAGGATTTCTCACGCCTTCTTCTGCTGATTCTGTTATTACATCATGACTTGGGTCTTACTAATTTTGGCTGCTTACTTAAATAGGTTGTGCAGAAGGGAGTAGGTTGTCTTGTTGGAATGAAACTTATCTGTGGGTAGAAGAAATAAGAAATAAAGTGACACAGAACCAGGGAAAGAGAAATATTAGAGCCCATGTTTGGGCAAACGAGAATGAAAATATGTATGGACAGAAAGAAAGGAGTTGAAAAAGCACATCAGGCATGTGTGTTGTATGAAGGAATATCAGCCAATTTCTCAAATGTTCTTTTAACATGCTAAACATAATTTGCTTTCTCTTGTTTGAATATTTTTTTTTTCTCTGATTGTTTATTTCCCGCTTCCTTTTTGCCCTTCTCAGAACATAATGCCGATCTCAGCAGCCATGTTCCGCAGCGAACGCAACAACCCCGTCCCCCAGTGTCCCCCAAGGCTGGATGTCCAGATGCTGACCCCAGTCATCTGGAGTCGTATGCCCAATCACTTCCTTAACCCGGAAGTGGGCAAAGTGAGCGAGAGGCTGGGCTGGATGGTGGAGTGTACTGAACCTCTCATCATGATGGCTCTGCACATCCCTGAGGAGAACAGGTCGGAGACATTAGCAACAGGATAAGCAGTCTGCTTATTGGTGTCATTTTCCTGCAGTGCATTTGAGTCAGATCCATAAACTCCTGACCTGTTTTGATTATTGTGTCTTTTTTTTTTTTTTTTGTTTGTTTCAGGTGCATAGACATCTTGGAGTTATCAGAGCGTCTGGATCTGATGAAGTTCCACTACCACACCCTCATGCTCTACTGTGCTGTTTGTGCACTTGGGAATAACCGTGTGGCTCATGCCCTGTGCAGCCATGTGGATGAATCCCAGCTTTTCTATGCCACCGAGAACACCTACCTGCCCGGACCTCTCCGCAGTGGCTACTACGACCTGCTCATCAGTATTCACCTTGAGTCTGCAAAGCGGGCACGCCTTGGCACCAACAGAGAGTTTATAGTCCCCATGTCTCAGGAGACTCTGAGCATCCACCTCTATCCTGACGCTAAGAAGGCCCATTCTCTCCCCGGTGTTGGCCTCACTACCTGCTTACGCCCCAAGCTACATTTCTCCTCCATCAACTTTGTTGGCACGGACCCTGACCTGTATACCATCAGCCCCGTTTTCCCCCTGCAGGTAAGAGACGAGAATTGCACTGCAGAATTATAAGACGTTTTAGATGCCTTTTGCTGATTTTACCCTTCCCCCCCCCTCAGGAGCTGAAGACCAGGGCGATCAGCATGTTAACTGAAGCTGTGTTGGATGGTAGCCAGGCGATGCGGGATCCAGTCGGAGGCAGTGTGGAGTTCCACTTTGTCCCAATCCTGAAGCTTATAAGCACACTGCTCATAATGGGCATCTTCAACGACGAGGACACCAAGCACATCCTGAAGATGATCGATCCGAGTGTTTTCAGTGGGAAAGAGGAGGAGGCAGCTGAAGAGGGAGGAGCCGCCGAAGGAGAGGGCGGAGAAGCAGAGGAGGAGGAAAAAGACGAGGACGCCGAGACGGAGCCGGAGGACGAAGGGGTTGGCGACGAGGAAGACGAGGAGCTGAAAGAAGCAGAGAAGGCAGAACACGAGGAGGAAGACGCCGAGGCTCAGGAGGAGGGAAAAGAAGGGGAGAAGGAGGAGGGAGAGGCCAAAGGAGGAAAAGTGGACGGAGAGAAGGCGGAGGAGGAGAAGGAGGCAGAGGCAGTGGAGGCAGAAGCAAAAGAAGAGGAGGAGGGTCCTGAAGAGGGACTACTCCAGATGAAGCTGCCAGAATCTGTCAAGCTGCAGGTCATTTTGATATTCAAACACCGCCTGCTATCCATCCACAGACAGAAATCATATCCTTCAAATATGTTCCTAACTTTATTTCCTCTTACAGATGTGCACACTCTTGCAGTACTTCTGCGACTGTGAGCTACGTCACAGAGTGGAGGCTATTGTAGCCTACTCCGACCAGTTCGTCCATAACGTTCAGGACAACCAACGTGTTCGTTACAACCTGTTGATGAGAGCCTTCACCATGTCCGCTGCTGAGACTGCGCGAAGGACCCGCGAGTTCCGTTCACCACCACAAGACCAGGCACTGATTATCATTTTTTACCTTTCAATCTTTACAAACACCATATTTTGGTTTGTTTTTGGCATGTAATTAAAAGTTAAAGGCACTATCTTACATCACATGACTGACGGGAGAACAATAGAGAAAACACCAGTGACTTGATTTAAATGTGGCATGCAATACAAGAAGAACTAAAACAGAAACAAACTTTTTTAAATGTGTTTACCTCTAAGGTTCTTTTGCTGACAAACTTCAAGCATTGTCCAGAGGATGAGGATTGTCCCGTGCCTGAGGAGGTGCGAGACACTCTGGGAGAGTTCCACGTTGACCTCCTGCTTCACTGTGGTGAGACGTTGTTTAAGGATCCTGATTTTTTTTTTTTACTTTACTGGTGTCAAAGACTCTTGTGTTAGATACACTGGGCTCTTTTAATGCATGCATTTTACTTCGTAAATAGGTATACATATTGAGGAGGAGGCCGAGGAGGAGGAGGTGGATACCTCACTGAGGGGCAGACTCCTCAGTCTGGTCGACAAGGTCAAGAACTTTCGCAAAAAGAATCAGGCGGAGGAGGAGCAGCCGGAGGTCGAGGAGGAATCAAAACCAAGTAAGGGGAACAGGGTTGATTTAGACTTCGGTCAAAAAATACCTAAATCCTAATTAACATGGAAAATACTGTGCATCTCTGTCTCCTCCACCAAGGCACCCTCCAGGAGCTGATCTCCCACACCATGATCCACTGGGCCCAGGAGTCATTCATTCAGAACCCTGAGCTCGTGCGTCTGATGTTCAGCCTGCTCCACCGGCAGTACGACGGCCTCGGGGAGCTGATCCGAGCGCTGCCCAAAGCCTACGCCATCAACGCCATATCTGTTCAGGACACCATGGACCTGCTTGAGTGTTTGGGACAGATACGTTCACTGCTCATTGTTCAGATGGGCCCAGAAGAGGAGAGACTCATGATCCAGAGCATCGGGTCAGTGTGGGGATGAGGAAATGTACTCACAGGCATCTGTAGTTGTGATATGTGACCTAAACTGGCTTCCATTATGTCAGAAACGTGATTCCATGTTGTGCATTTTTTGGGGGATTTTTGTTTTTAGGAACATCATGAACAACAAGGTGTTCTACCAACATCCTAATCTGATGAGAGCTCTTGGTATGCACGAGACCGTCATGGAGGTGATGGTCAATGTGTTAGGTGGTGGAGGAGACTCAAAGGTAATTGTGATGACTGTTCCTTTGTTTTGTTTATTTATCTTTTTATCTCAGATAGCCTCAGCCTGAATCTGTTGTTGGAGTGTGCACCTCCACCACTCAGAATTAATCATTTGTGTCTTTTTTTTCTCCAGGAGATTCGATTCCCCCAAATGGTGACCAACTGCTGTCGCTTCCTGTGTTACTTCTGTCGTATCAGCCGACAGAATCAGCGCTCCATGTTTGACCATCTGAGCTACCTGCTACAGAACAGTGGCATCGGCTTGGGTCAGTTTTAGCCACCTTGTGATTTTTTTTGTGCGGTCCATAGAGGAACCTTTTAATTAAAAAAGTAAATATGTCTTCATTCATTTTGACATTTTTGAAATTGATTTTTTTGGGGGCTTTTGCCTTTTTTTCAAGCAGCTGAGGGCTCCACAGTCTGCTGACGCTTTTTAACAAAGCCTTCTGCTTGTTCTTTTAGTTTCGTTAGTTGCTTAGTTGATTCAATTTATTTTTATTTCTATTTTTTTTTTTCCTGTAGCACTTTGAGATTTTTTTGCAAAAAAAAAAAAAAAGTAAAGTATTATTATTATTATTATTATTTTGAGATATTGAGTGGATAGAGTAGGAAACAGGGGAGAGAGACTGGGGAACGACATGCTGGGAAAGGGGCCACAGGCTGGACTTAAACAGGGCCAGCCCACTTGGAGGACTATAACCGCTAGGCCGTCTGCACTCTGATAAAATCTTGTTTTAACCTCTTCATTTTGCATTTATTTTAGCCTTTATGCACAAACACATTTTGACTCACTGGCTTTATTTTCCATTTTGTAGGCATGCGTGGGTCCACACCTCTGGATGTGGCTGCAGCTTCCTGCATTGATAACAATGAGCTGGCCTTGGCGCTACAAGAGCAGGACCTGGAAATGGTTTGAGAATATAAGAGAATAAACATTACTGAAAAGCATATAAAGGCATACTGTGCACTTGTTATCTTATAATCTTCCTTGGTGTCTGTGACATGCGTGTTGATGTAGGTGGTGACATACTTGGCTGGCTGTGGACTGCAGATGTGTCCAATGCTCCTTTCTAAAGGTTACCCTGACATCGGCTGGAACCCTTGTGGAGGAGAGAGATACCTGGACTTCCTCCGCTTTGCTGTCTTTGTTAATGGTCAGTGCCCTCATGATGTGACAGTTTTTGAAGTTTTATGATGTGAGTGACTGTGATCAAACACTAGTTCTCTTTCCTCCTCACAGGAGAGAGCGTGGAGGAGAATGCCAATGTTGTCGTGCGTCTGCTCATCCGTCGGCCGGAGTGCTTCGGCCCAGCCCTGAGAGGAGAGGGTGGTAATGGTCTGCTGGCTGCCATGGAGGAGGCCATCAAGATCTCAGAGGACCCGGCAAGAGACGGGCCCACTGTCAAAAAAGACAGGCGCTTCATGTGAGTGAAAAAAAAAAAAAAGAAGTGATCTAGCTGCATTTTTGAAAATTAATAAATAAATATTTTTCTGTATTATCTTGAAGATTTTAAAGCTGCTCTTGGTGCATAATGACGTTTTTTGATTGGTAGGTTTGGTGGTGAGGAACAGCACGAGGAAAACCGTGTACATCTGGGAAATGCCATCATGTCGTTCTACTCAGCCCTCATTGATTTGCTGGGTCGCTGTGCCCCTGAGATGCACGTGAGTAGAAGTCTTGTTACTACATTGATAACTTTTATTTCCTCTTACCGCTCAGTGTGTGGTTGGTGAGAAGTGATTGGTCTCACACAGCATGTCTGGAATTTTCTCATCTACAGCTGATCCAAGCAGGCAAGGGTGAGGCTTTAAGGATCAGGGCCATCCTGAGGTCTCTGGTGCCCATAGAGGACCTGGTGGGAGTCATCAGCTTGCCTGTGCAGATTCCTGCTTATGGCAAAGGTAAGATACCAAGTCAAAATCATGCATGGACACATTATTTGGTAATATTTTATTATTCTCCTCTTATGCAATTATTTTTTCTCTCAAAACAACAGACAGTCAGATTATTGAGCCAAAGATGTCTGCCAGTTTTGTGCCGGACCACAAGGCCTCCATGGTGCTGTTCCTTGACAGAGTGTATGGGATTGACAACCAGGACTTCTTGCTTCATGTGCTGGAGGTTGGATTCCTTCCTGACATGCGAGCTTCAGCTTCTCTGGACACAGTGAGTAGGAAAAGACACAGATGAAAAGGAAAAAAAGAGAATGTATACTGATGTGACTTACTACCTGTGCTTCTATGAAATACTGAATTAATAACACAGAGTTTTTCTTTTCATCCTCGCGTTATATAGGCTGCATTCAGTACAACTGAAATGGCCTTGGCGCTGAACCGCTACCTCTGTTCAGCTGTGTTGCCTCTACTCACCAAGTGTGCCCCATTGTTTGCTGGGACTGACCACCGGGCCATCATGATCGACTCCATGCTCCACACCATCTATCGTTTGTCCCGTGGCCGAGCCCTTACCAAGGCTCAGAGGGACGTCATTGAGGAGTGCCTCATGTCGCTTTGCAAGTTAGTACTAATTATTTTTTGTTAAGAAAGCCTTTAATTATAAGTTCATACCTTGATTAACTTATATTTAACCTGAACAGAACTTGAGATCTAAGTAGAATGGCATCTGAAAACACAAACAAATTTATACGTAATACATTTTGCTCAGTTATAAAGATGAATCCATTTAAACATTGCATCCCCTCCTGAAACGATGATGTCATTGACAGGTATCTTCGACCCTCCATGCTGCAGCATCTGCTCAGACGCCTTGTATTTGATGTGCCCATCCTTAATGAATATGCAAAGATGCCTCTCAAGGTTTGTAGACTTTTATTTTCTATAGTATTTGTTTCACATCATTCTTAATAAATGAAAAATTATAATGCCTAAAATATGTTATGTGAAGTAAATTATATTCAACATAATATGAACACAAATTCGACCCAATCTGTGCTAAAAGTGCAAAGAGATTTGGGCTCTCTGGTGGCGCAGTGGTTAGAGCGCTCGTCCCATGTATGGAGGCTGTAGCCCTCCAAGCGGGCGGCCATTCCCGACTCTCTTTCTCCCTGATTTCCGACTCTATGCACGGTCCTGTCTCTCCAATAAAGGCACAAAATGCCCAGAAATAAATGTAAAAAAAAGAAAAGTGCAAACGTATTAAATGCATACATCAAATTGATTATTGTACATTGCAAAAAATTTATTCAAAATGTCCCCCTCTGCATTTCTCTGTAATTGTAATGTTCCAGTTGTTGACGAATCACTATGAGCGCTGTTGGAAGTACTACTGCTTGCCTAATGGATGGGCTAATTTCGGGGTGACCTCAGAGGAGGAGCTGCATCTTTCTCGTAAACTCTTTTGGGGAATCTTTGAGTCTTTGGCACACAAGGTGAGAAATGAGTGTATTGATGTACACATTGTAGTGTTAAGAGTTTATACTGTGCAATCACAAATGGTTAAGCTTAACCTGCATTCTCTTATCCAAACATTAGAAATTCGATGCTGAGCTCTTCAAGATCGCCATGCCTTGCCTCTGTGCTATAGCAGGAGCCATACCACCCGACTATGTGGATGCCACTTACTCCTCTCACACTGAGAAGAAAGCTTCTGTTGATGCTGAGGGCAACTTTGATCCCAAACCAGTGGAGACCACCAAGTGAGCTGGAAAATACATCTGTACATAAGTCACAGTGTAACAGAGTCCTACAGGAAAAAAAAATAAATTACATAATATCAGTGTGATGCACAATCATGTCGTTCATTCCAAGTTAATTACTGTATTAAAAACTTGAATGCTTAAAAGTCTAAACTTTAAGTTCTGTTAAGAATAAACATCAGTGTCTTATTTTCAGTGAACATGAAATGTGAGATGACATATAGACGAAACAATTAAAGAAAATTAAATTGTAACTTTACCAGTTATATTCAGGTTACTATGAGGAAAAAAGGAAGTCAAGTGTTAAATTTTGTTTATAGAGAATTGCACCCATGACGTGTAACAATTACACGTTCATTTTTTCGCAGCACCATCATCCCTGAGAGGCTGGACGCCTTCATTAACAAGTTTGCAGAGCACACCCATGACAGATGGGCTTTTGAAAAGGTCAGTTAGCAACAATGCAAATCACTGTTTTTGAAACATACGTTGTTTATTTGACTATGTTAGTACTAAAAACTAATATCAATGGTTAAACACATTTTCAGATTCAGAACAACTGGACCTATGGAGAGGTGTTAGATGAGAACGCTAAGACTCACCCGATGCTCAGGCCTTATAAAACCTTCTCTGAAAAGGTAATGTTGGATATAAATAATCTGAACACTGTTTTTTTTATCTAATGTATCTTCTGATGAAACCAATGCTGTAAAAAAACACATTTCACTGACTAGTGATAAAATCCCCTCTCCTCTGTTTCTCAGGACAAGGAAATATACCGTTGGCCAATCAAAGAATCCGTCAAAGCCATGCTGGCCTGGGAGTGGACCTTGGACAAAGCCAGGGATGGGGAGGGAGAAGTGGAGAAGAAGGCCACGACCCGCAAGATCTCCCAAACTGCTCAGGTACAAAAGAGATGAGTGTAAAACACTCTGGAGAACCTCTGTTGACTATTTCTTCTTTGTTGAGATGGTGTGTCTAATGTACTCGTGGATCACTTCCTGGTCCAATGTGACTGAATACTTCTTTCTTTGGTGCTCATCTGTTTTTATCAAACCTTACTTGTGTTATTTTTGACTAAAATGTCAAACTGAGCTGTGAAAATCCTCCCACCTTTGTTGACCAACTGATTTACAACATAATAGGGAAATTAAAACACTTATTTTTCTCTGGTAACCTCTTGGATTCCTCTAGAGTTCCCCATAACCTCCTTTAGAAAACCGCTCATCTGTTGGTATGTTTTCTGTCTTCAGGCCACATATGATCCCAGTCACGGATACAACCCCCAGCCCATAGACATCGGAGGAATGGCCATATCCAGAGAGCTGCAGGTTTGTATCTCTCAGTCTTTCACAGCAGTGTTAGGCCTTGAACGTTTTTTTAGAAGCCTTTTGATTCAACTTTCTTTCCCATACATTCAGTCTATGGCTGAGCAGCTGGCTGAGAACTATCACAACACCTGGGGCAGGAAGAAGAAGTTGGAGCTACAGTCCAAAGGTAAGAGAAGGGTATTCTTGTACACATCATAGACAATGACATAGATAATGTTTTACTGGTGGTTGCTAGTTTGTACTTATAGTCTAGCAGTAGTAGTTTGTAAAAAATAAAAACATCTCCCCCCTCTGGTAGGCGGTGGCACCCATCCTTTGCTTGTGCCTTATGACACCCTGACGGCTAAAGAGAAGGCCAGGGACAGAGAGAAAGCCCAGGACCTGCTCAAATTCCTCCAGCTCAATGGATATGCTGTGACAAGGTGAGCCAAAAGTTTTTCACATATTTCAATTTCACATAAGTGTTTTCTCTGATAACTCTGTTAAATGTTTCTTTCAATTTTCCACACGTCTTTCTCTGCATTCTCAGGGGCCTGAAGGACATGGAGCAGGATATTTCCTCCATTGAGAAGCGTTTCGCCTATGGCTTCCTTCAAAAGCTTCTGAAATGGATGGACATCGCCCAGGAGTTCATTGCTCATCTTGGTGCAGTTCATAGCAATTTGTAACATACAGTATGTTCAAGCATGCAGCTATTGACTGATAACTGACTTATATCTGAATTCATTTCTGTTCTCACAGAGGCTGTGGTTAGCAGTGGTCGAGTGGAAAAGTCCCCACATGAGCAAGAGATCAAATTCTTTGCCAAGGTAAGCTGTTCTGAAGCTTTTCAGAGTCCTTGTTTAGCTTGTCTGCCTCTACAGGAAGGCAGAGGTCATGAGTAGTAACAACATGTTGCTCTAAAACCTTAAGGCATTTTGAGTCCTTTAGAAAATGCTGCAAGAAATAAACACTCTTGCCAAAAATGGTTGGTTTGAAGATGGATCCTTCATTGAAGCTTCCTCTGTCATGTTTACAGATCCTGTTGCCCCTGGTAAACCAGTACTTCAAGAACCACTGCCTCTACTTCCTCTCCACTCCTGCTAAAGTTTTGGGTAGTGGAGGGCATTCTTCCAACAAGGAGAAGGAGATGATTGCCAGGTATGTGCAATAAAAGCTTAGACTTAGAGTTCAAATGACTGGCTAGCTCTCTGAATTGTCTTTATTATGTAGCTTTCCTTTAGCACAGTACTTTGGGGGTGACAGTGTCTGTCCTCTCCCTGGTCCATGTCTCTTCATCTGTCCTCTATTGTGCTATATTCCTTTTTTTCCTTGACCTCCCTTTTGCTTTTCTGTGTCACTTCAAACATCTCTTCCTGCCTCTCCTGTTTGCCCTTACCGTCCTCTCCCTCCGTTCCCTCTTTTCTCCTCCTGCCTCAGTATCTTCTGTAAGTTGGCTGCTTTGGTGAGGCACAGAGTTTCCCTTTTTGGTAAGGAATCTGCATGCTGGATTTACGCCCTGTCACCATCCCGGTCCATTTTGTAACTGTTTTCCTGTCTAATTATTTAATTCCTTAAGATCTTTCACACTTCCTTTGTAATTTTCCATTAACATACTAATCTCATTAACGTCGTATACCAGTTTCATATTTAGTCAGTCCTCCAGTGCTCCCATTGCCTCCTTCTTCCTTACTGGATTTTCTCATCTAATGCATCTCTCTCCATAGCATAATATCTGCTTGGCTTTGGTGTTCTGCAACCTGGGGCCAGATGCATAAAACTGTGTTTTTTGTAGATGCATTGCTTAAACATCTGATCCCAGGCATTTTAAAATCGTCCATTTTGCTTTTAAGACGTAGTATGGTACTGTAAGTGGTCTACCTGTTGAAATGTTCTTGAGTCTTATTGGTGTTGCACTGACGAAACGTAATTATCCCAGAGTATTGACATTTGATTCAACTGTTCCATTGATGTCGGTTTTAGAAATCTAAATAATACGATAAATGTGTGATCCATAAAATGAATGCTTTTAATGTTGTTTTGAGTTTGGTCCATGTTTTGTAGCAAGCTCAACCATAACCGTTTTGTTTGCCCTGTTTTCTGTATTAATGCATAGCCTTAAAATTAACTCCTCTTATTCTGAATAGATTTGGATTTGTATTGTGAACTTTGTCAACACGCGTTTGTTTGTTTTTCTTTCAGGAACTGATGCAAGTGCAGTGGTTAACTGCCTGCACATCCTCTCACGATCACTGGATGCCAGGTAACTCTCACATCTATTCACATCACATCCCCAGACAAACAGAAATATATCAAACTATTTGACATTATTTAACAACTCTTTGTATCTCAACTCCACCTTTGTGTCTTCCTTTTAAAGGACTGTCATGAAATCAGGCCCTGAAATTGTCAAGGCCGGCCTGCGTCAGTTCTTTGAAAGTGCTGCCGATGACATTGAAAAGATGGTTGAGAATTTGAAACTGGGCAAAGTGTCAAGTCGAAACCAGGTCAGAGACAGCTCCCTCCTGCATTTATCTGACTTCTTATTCGTTTTCTTGTAAGCTGATCTGTATTTGTGTGTGTGTGTGTGTATGTAGGTAAAGGGTGTGTCCCAGAACATCAACTACACCACCGTTGCCCTGATGCCAGTCCTCACGTCTCTGTTTGACCATATCGCCCAGCACCAGTTTGGAGATGATGTCATATGTGAGTGAACTGCTTCTCTCTGTTAAATTACCAGTTCATTATTTGTCCTCTCAGCTCTTTGACTCCAAGCTCATAATCCTCTCCTTTACATCCTCAGTGGACGACTTGCAAATATCCTGCTATCGTCTAATGTGCAGTATCTATTCTCTGGGCACAGTGAAGACTCCACATGCAGAGCAGTGAGTAGCATCTTTGGTTGATTATTAAATACTTAAAAAAAACAACCACGTTTGGGGCGCCCTTGGCCAAGAGGTTAGTATGCATGTCACTCCCCACTCTCTCTCTCGCCCTGATTTCCAACTGTACTGTCGCTCCAATAAAGGCACTAAAAGCCCCAAATTACACTTTAAAAAAGACAACATACACCTCCTATCCATTGACCCTTGTTTCACCTGGAAATTTCCTGAAGGAGCTTCTTGAAATTTTGATTTATACTCTCAAAGACTGGTTTTTGCTTTGGTTTTTACTGAGTATAATTATAACAATTAATGAGGATTTTTTTTTTTTTTTTTTTTTTGCCCTGTCTAGACAGCGACCAGCTCTTGGCGAGTGCTTGGCTCACTTAGCAGCTGCTATGCCAGTGGCCTACCTTGAGCCAGAACTAAATGAGTTCAACTCATTTTCTGTCTACACCACCAAGACTCCTAGAGAGAGAACCAGTGAGTTAAAGCAATATATTACGCCCTCTAAATTAAATGTAGTGTCAAATAAAAATTCTCTTTTACATTTATGATATTATATCAAATTGTCTCCACTCTCGCCCCCTCAGTTTTGGGTCTTCCCAACCATGTCGAGGAGCTTTGCACTGACATCCCAGTGCTGGAGGTCCTGATGAAGGAGATCCATGACCTGGCTGAGTCTGGGGCTCGCTACACAGAAATGCCCCATGTGATTGAGATCACCCTGCCCATGTTGTGTAACTACCTCCCGCGCTGGTGGGAGAGGGGCTTTGAGAATTTCCCTGATCAGGATGGTCAGCTCTGCACCTCGGTCACCTCTGAGCAGCTCAACCATCTGCTGGGTAGCATCATGAAGATTGTGGTCAACAACCTGGGTATAGATGAGGCCTCCTGGATGAAGAGATTGGCAGGTCAGTGAGACGTTTTTACGTTTAAACCATTACATATGTGTATACGGAGTACATGCTCCTCTATTTTCCACATTTTGCACACCTCACTAACTATCTGAACTCTTACTATTTCTGACATTGATTCCTGTCCATCCACTTGTCCAGTGTTCGCCCAGCCCATTGTCAGCAGGGCTAAACCAGAGATGCTTAAATCACACTTCATCCCCACCATGGAAAAGCTGAAGAAGCGCTCTGGGAAGGTGGTGGCGGAGGAGGATCAGCTGCGCATGGAGGGCAAGACAGAGGTTGATAGTGAGAATGGAACCATCAGGGATGAGTTTGCTGTGCTCTGTCGGGACCTGTACGCTCTCTACCCATTGCTCATCCGCTACGTGGACAATAACAGGTCAGCTTGACTTCCTAATGAAAAGATGCATTTGTTAAACACGTTATCGCTTTTGCATTTTTTGCTGTATGTTGTTAACGTTTCAGTTTGAATTTTGTGAGTGATTCACAATCAATGAGTTTAGTTAGTGCAATCAAAAAAAGGTATGACCCTTCCTCAACTCAAAGCCACACATTGTGATTCAAGTCCTTGATTTATTCTGTTGCCGTCATTGACTTCAGGGCAAGATGGTTGACTTGTCCAGACCCAGATGCAGAGGAACTTTTCAGGATGGTTGGAGAGGTCTTTATTTTCTGGTCTAAATCCCATGTGAGTTTTATACTTTCTGTTTCTGTCTCTTTTGAAATACTGTTTTTATTGTTCTACGCTTTGGTTTTCCCTTTTTGGACATTTTTTCTTGTTGTTGTGGTTATTTCAGAACTTCAAACGAGAGGAGCAGAACTTTGTGGTGATGAATGAAATCAACAACATGTCCTTTCTGACTGCAGACAGTAAGAGCAAGATGAGCAAGGTGAGAGTGGACAAGCAGAAGGAAAAAAAATGGCCATTTAAATCAGCTTGTTACTTTACAAAATGTTTTTCTCCACACATGTTCATACCTTAAACTGTAACTCATTAAGAAACTAAACTCTAATTAATATTTCATTAACACCACCCATTCCAAGCAGGGAAAGATTTTAAAGGATATATAATTTTAGCTGTTTGTTCCTTTTCTTACCTTTAAGTTGTTATGGATAAGAATAAAAAGCAAATGATTATTCTGCACAGAATAATCATTTTCTACAAGTGTTAAAGATTTATAGGCTATGACGTCACTAATTAAATCCTTTTCTAGGACAATTTAGTATAAACTGATCAGGTAGTCATAGTGTCCCTAACTGTGTTTTCTCCTTATATCCTGTGTCGCGGTTGGACCTTGGGCCACTAGGCCGGAGACGGAGAGGTTAGACTGTGTTTGTGCACGAGCGCTGTGCTGATCGCATGGCACCCTGGGTTTTTGGGGAGAAATTTCATCAAGCTCTCCCAATGGATTACCACACTTGTTACACACAGACCCCAATATTCACACACATACATACACAAACACAAACACAGGGTTTTGAACACACAGTTACCATCAGGAGGAAAGTCACAATGTATGGGTAAAATGCAACTGTGCTGTAGATTTAGTGGAAAGTGCTTATATCGAGAATGTTTTATGTGAGATGGACGTATTTGTCATTGTATCTTAGTAACTTTTATATGATGATATTGTGACTGAGCGTGTGTGTCTGTGTTTTAATGTAGTGTTTGTATCTGTGTGAGTAGGGGTCTGGAGTGGCTTGATGAAAGCTCTTTTGCTGTAGACCGTAGTGGCCTGTGAGGTTTCATGGTGCTCGGTTGAGCAGTTGTGTCTAATTTGGAGTTTGCACTCCTGCAACCGTGCCCCATCACCCCTATCTGTTCTCCTTTGATTAATAAACAGTTTGCCTCTAGATGGTCCCTGTTGGATACAGTTGTGGAAGCCCATGCTGCTGTGCTACCTGTGATGTAGAAAATGTGATTATTGACGCTTGAATTTCTTTCAGCTTTTGTGGTAAAGATCCCTACGCTGGACTCTTCTCTTTTTCATTATCATCACTGGCTTTGTGTTGAATTCCTGTTTACCCCCAAAAAGCCATTTCCTTTCTGTTGCTGTTAGATCTGCTCCGTCTATCAGCAGTATATGAGGCTAGCTAGGTCTACTGGGGGTGGGGGGGGGACATCACTAGATAGATAGATAGCTGTAATCATATTTACTAACTGAACTCGCCCCTCCATGTCTAATTCATCTACATCATTAAATTGTTCAATCATTGAATATCTAATCACTGTTTGATGTTTTTGATGATGGCTGTAAGATAAAATAAGAGAACCTCCTCTCCTTGGCTATCAGATGGGCATTGCTGTAGTGAGATTCTGTTACCTGATCATCACAATGCCTCTCTCTCTGCCCCAAAGAGCAGTTTTACCATAACACAGTTAAGACGTGTACACCATGGGCAGAGAGGGCGCTGTGAGGCCAGACAACAGTCGGTAATGAGCAATGGCAGCCTCAGGACAGGAGTGTGTGAGAAGAGCTCCGGGGCGATGGAGCTGACCCCATAAACTTGTGCTGTTCTTTGTGCTGTCCAGTGGACAGGATTTGCCCCGTCTGGCCACTGCACTACTAACAGTTCGGCTGCATTGTGTGTAACCACTGTAGCTGATGCAGCAGTGAGGCACCTGAAACCCGACCAAAGAGTCAATGTTTCCAAGAAAATGTAATTGTTTGTCCGTCTGACTTCAGCTGGTGAAAAAAAATGACTGTCACTTAATTGATTCAGTTTATCAGCATGTTGTGATTTTACAGTTTGACTCAGCAGTTGGTTCTTGCCAACTCATTGAATCAATTTTCCTCCTGCCTTTTGTTTGTTAGAAGTAGTCTTAATTAATTTGTTTTTTGTTTAATATTCTCAAAATGTCACAGAAAATATTAAAAAGAAAATATTACAGAAAAATATATATTTTTCCTGTTTAGTCTGGAGGCTCAGAGCAGGAGCGTACCAAGAAGAAGCGGCGGGGGGATCGCTACTCTGTGCAGACCTCGCTCATCGTAGCAGCATTAAAGAAGCTGCTTCCCATCGGCCTCAATATGTGCTCTCCTGCAGACCAGGAGCTCATCAATCTCGCAAAGATCAGATACTCACTGGTATTCTACTTGTTTTATTCACAATTCTCTGATTTTATTTTGTCTTAACACTATTCCATTACTAGACATTTCTTTTTCAATGTCCTCTGACTCTTGGTCTCCTTTGTTGTAGAAAGACACAGATGAAGAGGTGAGGGAGTTTTTGCACAACAATCTTCATCTGCAAGGCAAGGTGAGTTGACAGTCGATGCGAATGAACAACAAAAAATTCCTTTTGTAAATATCCTTATATGCATTTGACATGTTTGAATGTTGGTTTCAGGTGGAGGACCCAGCCATGCGCTGGCAGATGTCTCTTTACAAAGAGATGTCTGGTAAGGCCGAAGATGCTGAGGACCCTGAGAAGGTGGTGAAAAGGGTTCAAGAGGTGTCGGCTGTCCTTTACCACATTGAAGTGGTGAGTTGCTCTGCAAGCGAACACATGTGACTGTATGCAAGGTGTAAGAATTGTCAGTAGCAGCCTTACTGTGAAAAAAGTTGACACATAGATGATGTTTCTTGGTTTAGACTGAGCATCCCTACAAGTCAAAGAAAATGGTATGGCACAAGCTGCTGTCCAAACAGCGTCGCAGGGCTGTGGTGGCCTGTTTCAGGATGACGCCCCTGTACAACATCCCCAGGTAATGATACCGTTAAAAGAGATCGATTAAAACACAAGTTAGCTATACATGAGCCATTGCAACCTTACTGACACGAGCCTCAATGACTGTTCCTCCCGCAGGCACAGGGCGACCAACATGTTTTTGGACGCTTACAAGCGCAACTGGTTAGAGACCGAAGGTTACTCATTTGAAGACAAGATGATTGATGACTTATCCGTAAGTTGCCTTCACATTCATTCTTAGACAAATCGTAACCATTAATGAGACGTATCATGAGTTACATTGTGTCCAATCATTTAATTAGAAAGCCTTGGAGGAAGAGGAGGAAGAGGAAGAGGAGACTGAGACGAAGCCTGACCCCCTTCATCAGCTGATTCTTCATTTCAGCCGAACAGCTCTGACAGAGAAGCTGTAAGATCATCTTTCCTCTGTTGTCACCTGTTCCTCGGTTTTTCACTCATTGACTCCTTTTATGTTTTTTTGTCTCATTGCAGTAAACTCGACGTTGACCATCTCTATATGTCGTATGCTGATATCATGGCAAAGGTAAGACAGTCAGTGAGCGGCATCCTAAAAGCACAATGTTTACTTGTAGACTCTGTGCTTGTGCATGATCTATAATATGAATACTGAATAAATTAATCCAAATAAACACTAAATAAAAACACACTGGCTGAGAGGGGAGCTGGTTTTATGTAGTTTATATCCCCTTAACACAGACGTTTTCAGTGAATTTTAAATGTAATTTTAAACCAAAACGTTTTGATTTACAACAAAATGTAAGTACAACATGTATATCTTTTTTGCCTGTTTCACAAAACTCTGTGAGACTGATTTAAAATCTGGTGTAGGACTTCTAAATCTGATGAGATCTTGTGTTCTGTCATCTCCCTCCAGAGCTGTCACATTGGTGAGGAGGACGAAGGGGGAGATCAGGAGGGGGAGGAGCCATCCTTTGAGGTGCGGCAGACAGAGATGGTATGGGGGGACCAGGGGATGGGCGACAGGGGAGTCAGCGAGGAGGCAACTCACTGGAGTGACCACACCGTGACATCACACCCGGCACACCCCCCCCCCCCAGCCCACTTTCTTATTTCTCTTCCTGTCTTTTATCTTGTTCACTCACACCACTTGTATCTCTCCTGCTGGACTGACCTGTGCATGCCTTTGCTGGACTCTGCCCGACAGTCGGATCAAGTTGTGAACTCAATTTTTTTTTTTAAGTTTCTAAATCGCATGACAGGAGTGCAGAGAGATGGTGAAGTTAAAGACAACCAAATGACACTTAGGTCAAAACAAAACTCTGAGCCTTTGCCAGATGTTAATTTTTCAAAATCACAATTTCCAAACCTGATGTGCCTCTTAGACTCTTTGTGGCTGATCGACTGTCCCCTGCAAATTACTGTACTGCAGCAAGGTTGAGCACATCAACGTCATACTTATTTAACTACAGCAGAGATATAATATATTCACATGCCACATGCCTAAGGGATCACGATGTCTTCAGTACTTAGTATAAATAATTTAAGTAATAAAAAATGTCTGAAATATAAAAATATAAAGACAGTGGAAATATGAAAATTGAACTGCTGATATTTTAGATATTTTTTAAATAGAATACACATTTACTGTATGTCTTTTTATTTTATTTTTATTTTTTAAGAATTATTTTTGGTATTTTTTTTTGCCTTTATTGTCGAAACAGGACAATGGATAGAGTTTGAAATCAGGGAGAGAGAGTAGGGAATGACCCATGCCCCAATACTGTATGTCATTTCTACAATCAGATAGCTGCTGCAAACAAAACCAGTACATTTCAGACAACTAAACAGGACATTTTCATAAACACCACTGAGCTATCACTTTACTAGCACATCTTGGTCTCATAGTTAGTATCCACATCCTGCTTATCAGCACCCGAGAACGAGCTCAACCCCTTGATATGATCGATAATTGAAACAGATGTCGTTGATTTGTTTACTTAAAAACTCAGGTTTGGACACTGTGATGTTGTAGTGATAGAGATGCAGCTGTTCCTGGAGGTTAGCATTAGCATTAGCATTAGAAATGTGGTGTTGCCGTCCAAGACCAGCTGTATTTAAACTCTTAAAACAGACATTAGGCCAAACAATGCAGCAGGTTTTTTTTCTCACGGTCGAACCAGCTCTCTTGTGCCGAGCTTGCGTGGTCAGTCTCTCCCAGACTTTTTCTGACTCACATCCTACTCTACTCACCTGCTACGTGGACTACGTGTTAATCTATTTGGACTCACCTGATAACTCTAGTTTGAAATCTAACAACTGACAAGTAACTGACGTCGTTTGACTTTTACTTTGAATTGGATAGCGTTAACAAGTGTCCCTCTCCGAGCTCACCAAAGGACTACAGTAAAAGCCTGCACAGTCAGCCGTACAAATACTGTCCCAAACCCAAATCACACACTGGTGCAAGCATACACTGCAACACTTTACACACATGCAGACACATTCACACCAACAGCCATGATCACATGCATTAGTTTTCACACATGACTAAAGACACATCATTTAAACAAAAGCAGATCGGACTCTCTGTAACCAGAGAAAAGTTGCTCCTTCAAATTTTAAAAACATAATTTAGGCTTACGAGGGAGGGGGGGGGGGGGTGCGGGCGGAGGGAGGGGTAGATTCTGTTCTGGGTGCATGGTATGCTGTGGGTGGGTCCAATCTAACCTCTTTTATCCACAGGATGATTGTTCATAGTAGCAGTACTTGTATATGAAACGATAGAGAAGCTCAGAAAAGCAAAACAGCAGTGAAGTAGCTGCTGTTATTACAACATGTAGCAACAGAAAGAAGTACGGTGTTATACTGTACTTGTCAATATAAGAACTTGTTTAAAATGGTATCATGATGATGATGTATAATAGACAAAAACATTTGCAACCACGTATGCATTAGATAAAATATATTATTCATTTAAAAACCTTTAGATTGAAATATTTATTTCAGAAAATGTTCATGTTAAGGACATTTCATATCTATATTTAAACCTGTTGTGTTGCCTGAGGCCAACAATATAGTTTTACAGTAGGAAGTTATGATGACACTAAGTGCTGTCAGTTCATGTAAATGCATCTGCCTCCATTTGAGCAAGAGTTTGCAGACTTAGAGGGAGGAACAACCTGATGCTCCTGTAGGTTAGAGCAACAGTAGGACTTGAATATAGAACAGCAGTGATTTATACTGTAAGTACAGACTGTGCATGCTGTGTATTACAAACACTGTTGCTTTCTGGTAAAATGTGAAATGCGTGTTTGCTGGCATTGAATGTTTGCTGCCTCTGGATGTTGTCGAGCTGGAATAAATGTTCACCTTCACTAACACACGTCGTGTTCCAATGGAAGAGAACGTGTGTGTGTATGTGTGTTTGTGCGTATGTGTTCCTTTATTTCTCAGTGATTTTTTAAAATTTCCTATTAAATTGAGGCCATCAAAAAAGATGTAAATCAGTACACTTTCACCTAACTTTAAAGAAGGACCAGATGCAGCAAGTCTAAATCTTTTGAGAGGGAAGAAATACACAAAGAAATTAAAACTTGTAAGATGTTTTATGCATAGATTTGTTTTGTTTTTTGTCATCAAAATTTAGGGATTTGAGACATGGAGTTATACAAGTTGCAGTCATTTCTTCATGTCACACTTTTTTGTTCACCCGGCACATCTACCCAAACTACCCAAGATCAGCATCAGCAGTGTGTGGTGAAAGTCAGAAGGACTAAAGAAATTATACATTTAACGTAATGCAAGTTCAACTAGAACCACACAACTGACGCTCTAGATTAGCGCAGAGGATGAGGGTGTGTTTGAGTGCGAGCGAGTGAGTGCGGGGGGCAGTGCAGTCCCAGTTGGCAGGGTTACAGCTGTGTCCCTCATGCTCTGCCCCACAGGAAAAGGAGATGGAGAAACAGAGGCTTCTGTACCAGCAGTCCCGTCTACACAACCGTGGAGGTTCAGAGATGGTGCTGCAGATGATAAGCGCCTGTAAAGGTAGATGGCAAACTACAGCATAACCTACTTATTAGCACACAAACTAAATGATATCACTAAACTGTAACAGAAAATACCAAGCTGGGCTGAGCTTTGTTAATACACAGTAGTTGTTTTGAATGGTAGTTTCAATGAGACACAAGGGTAAAGCTGTGGGATGAATTGCTTTTCCAAATAGTGAAACATAAAAATGCTTAAATAAGAAGGGGAGAGATCATTTGAAGGTTTTGTGTTGAACAAATTCTGTAAGGTTTTGAACAAGTTCAGTTTGAAATACACCATGCAAAAAGCAATAGTCAAAATAGACGTATTTTTTGGCACAGAGGATTCACCAGGACTTTAATTTCATTTTTTGGGTCAAAAATAGTTTCACTCTCACGTTGCCTCTACTTTCTCAGGCGAGCCTGGAGCCATGGTTTCTTCCACACTCAAACTGGGAATCTCCATCCTCAATGGAGGCAACTGTGATGTACAGCAGGTAAGTAAACCCCCTTTTTTAATTGTTTTTACAATTAAAAATCTCACCCTCATGAAATTTGTATTATTTCAGAAAATAATATTTCTGTCTTCCTGTCTGTGTGCAGAAAATGCTGGACTATCTGAAGGATAAAAAGGATGTGGGATTTTTCCTTAGCGTTCAGGCTCTTATGCAGACCTGCAGGTTTGTAATCAATTCCCATAGTTACCTTATTGTTTTCAACCTTTTTATTTTTTGTTTGTTGAGCACTTGACAGAAAGAAAATTCTACCATTGAAGGCAGGGTTGGTAATTTCCTGCCGATACACTTTTTTTTTAAATGTTGATTTTGGTTGAAAGTTGAAGTTTAGGTCCTGACAGAAATGAATAATTCATCTGTAGCAGTTGTAAGCCTTTATAAACTTTGACCAATATCTGCCAAGAGGAACCAATTTGATGAACCAATCACACCTCCCTGTCTTCCTGCTCATTCTCTACCGATTGTAAGGGGGTACCCAACACTCAAAGCGCGTCACAGATGACAGAGTCTATACTGTGAGCTTATTGTCGGCCTTTCTGAGTAGTAAAATAGTCACTTTTCTTAACGATGAAACGATGTAGTTTCTACACTATGAAAGCGATGAGCTGTGGTGCGCTTTTGGAGCAACGGCGCTCGTGCATGTAAGTGAGGGGGCGTGGCTTTTGAGGGAGCACAAGGCGAGGGGGCGGGTGTAGACGGAGCACTGAGGGAATGCTAGTTTCAAAGTCATGCTAGTTTTTCAAAAAATTACCAACCCTGCCTTTTAACATTGTGTGTGAAATGAGTAAATATTGTTGGACTGCACGTGTTTAAACTGACTCTGAACCAACTGTTTGATGTTGACAGCGTTTTGGACCTGAATGCTTTTGAGAGACAGAACAAGGCCGAGGGCCTTGGGATGGTTTCAGAGGAGGGCACCAGTAAGTCTGGTCGACGGCACCTCGTGTGTATCTCATGTATCTGAGCACACGGTCACACACACACTGCATTATATAAACACACACTGCAAAAACCTTTGGTCTTTAGTTTGCACTGGCTTGTGACATAATCTGACATATTTTCAGTTCCAGTGTGAAGTCTTATTTGTGTATGCATCTCTGTGTGTCTGAGTGTGCTCGGTAGTGGATACAGATTTGAAGGTATGTTTTTTGTGTAAGTCTGTTTAGAGTGTCTGTTTAAAATAGGTCACAGCATTTTGACTGTTGATGTATGGTGATGATCTGTTAATCATCCACTGACAGCCATGAGATTTCTGGACTCACTGCGTCTCTCTTTGTCTCTCTCTCTCTCCCCCCCCCACATCTCGTTCACTTTACCCGTTTCATCCCTTTACCCCTCATGCCCGTGTTCTTCCCACATGTCAATTTTGCTGCTCTCACGGTTCTCAGATAAGAAGCTAGAACGTGGTAAATGAAACTTTGATCTCACATATTTGCCTTCTCTTTTCACTCTTTCCTGTCCTCTCTGTCTCTTTAAAACTCTGAAATCCTGACCAGTCTTTCCTTGCTGTGAACTTTAATACGCATTTCATTTCACACTCAAGATTCAGGCAAAATAAAACTTTACACAGACACTTGCACACGGGTGCATAAATATGGAAACCTTGCAATGATACAAATGCTTTAATTGTGCATTGTGTCTCTGCCATTTTTCCTCGTGAAGTGAATGTAAAGTTTCATTTCTCTTCTTTGAGTGTTTTATCGCAGATCTACTGTTACTCCAACACTCTCAGTCGTTGTCAGTGATCAATGGGATGAAGGCAGTAACCTCATTTTCCTCTCCCGATCAGTTCTCTCAAGTAGATCATAGAGAATAAAAAACTGACACTGTGTTCTGGAAACTCTGAAATGAATTGCAGCAGCAGTAGGGACTCTCTTTTCCTAAATTAGATTTAACTTCAAACCCCGTCCACACACAATAGATGGGCTTCAGTCTCTGTACTGAGGCTGGCTTCTCCATACAGGGGGGCCATGCTGACCGGTGTCTACTGTAGGTAACACACAGCCTATCAGTATGTGCCACATATAACTGTTCTTCAAAATCTCCTTAATGTTCATTTAGAAAGAAATGGCAAACTGGACCCGGTTTTTTTTTACCCTGTTGGAGGCGACTCCACCCTTTGCCTGCTACAGATACTGGATTATTCAACAGTCATCATTGTTTGCAGATTTCAACCCCCTTGCACTGTGGACTACTTTCTTTTAAAGGAAAACAATTAAACCCAGCATAAAAGTTTTGTTTTGAATCGTTTTATGCAACATCAGGGTTTAATCTGAGCATGCTTGTATGTGTGTTTTGACAAAGACATAGTTTTTCAGGTGCTCAATTTCTGGCGGCATACCGAGAGCGAGAGAGAGCTGTAAGATTTGTGTCTTCTAATTGATAAGATTTTGCTATTATAATCATAAACCATGCAGAAGGTGAAATGCCCACACATAAAAAAAAAATCCCTCCCTTGTTTTAGAGGATTAGTTTACATTCTTTACTTCCACAACAACAATAAGGATGGACCTGTCTGTAGTTATATACATTACAATATATAGATTACTTAACATTGTGCTGAGTGTTTTTCTCGTCCACATACACACTCATAGCTTACTGGAGTTTGCAGAGTTCAGTAGATCTGTTGAGCATGACAGTGTGCCATGAGGTCATTCCTGTTTATGTCTACTGTGAGTGTTTTGTATCAAAAGTGTCTTATCAGTGTGTATATATGTTTATGTGTTCCCCGTCTTTATTTATCTGTGTGTTTCATGTCCATAGCAGTGTGAAGTGACGTGTCTGATGTGCTGTTTATTTGTGTTAATATGAGTAGATGTTTTTTTCTGGATAGCTAGTCACAGGTAAAGTTTTCAGGGTAGAGAGTAAGAGAAATAAAACTGGAGTCATTTTGGACGCCTCAGTCCTGCTTTCCTGCTCTCAAATGGACTGAGAGGTTTTTTTTTGGTTTTCACTAACATAATGTAATGAAGCAGAGGGGTGATATGAGGTACTTGCATCTTTAATGTTTTTGCACTGCATATGTGTGTACATTCATACTCACACACACTTGCATACAAACATGCATTACAACATAGATACAATCCAAGTGCATGGTGTCATTGACATCAAACTCACTACCTGCTCAGGTGTTATCAGCTGTTATTGATCAGATTTTTGCTTATTCATAATTGTATAATGGGTCATTTTGCAGTGTTTTGTGTGTATTAGTAGATGTGTAATTGAAGTTCCATAATTATCTTCTCAACAGTAACGACACTTAGTCATAAAAATGTGTGTAACTTCAAAACAGCAACAAAGACCGCTGCTGTTCCAGTCACAGTGCAGTTTGTTCGAAAACAATTTATATGTTTTCCTTTTTTCAAAAGTTGTGCATATGTTTCAAAAGGGTAGGAGAGATCAGAATCAGAGTCGATTTGTATTGCCAAGTAAACTTCCTCATTCAGAACATTTGACTTGGTGGTTTGGTGCAAAACAATTAACAAAGGAAATACAAAAAATAGCATAAATTTAAATTAAATTATGATTAAAAATAAGAACCAATTAGAAATATGTATAATAAAGTATAAAAATACAAAAACATAGAATGTACAGAAGGTGCAATAAAGGAGTTGTGCAGTTGACGGTGAAAACATCTTAAAGTATAGATACATTTACTCACAGAGTGCATGTAGACAAGCAGATCACTGTACTAGTAACAGTAATATTAATAAATATTTCTACGCTTTCTAGCTTTCAAACTAGTCTGCGAAGTATTTTTCTACAATCACAAAAACTAATAAAAGAAAATGTGCAACATTTAAAATCAAAACAAGCTACTAGCAAACTAAATAATCAATCGTTGTCTTGGATTTTTGGGTGAGATCCAGGGTGTCCAATAAAACTCTAAAAGGGGGGCAGATGCCAGCTGTGGTCACCCCTCTGGACACGCCCCTGCTAACAACCAGGCTCCTTACATCTGTAGAGGGACGACTTGTTCAGATGAACATATTTTCCATTGTTTTTTTTTATCCCTAGAACATTGTTATTCATTTGGGAAATAGCTGATTATAACTTTACAACTAAATAAAAGTAATTCAACTGCAGTAAATATAAATAAGGTTAGTAAGGAGAGAAATGTAAAAAGTAAATTACACATCTATTTTTTCTTTTTCAAACATACCTAATCTGCTGTTGCTTACTTTTGTTTTCCACTGTGTATTCTAACAGAGTAACACAGCAGAATAACAAGAGTTCACATTCACTCTGGACTCTAATCTTCATTTTGCATGAATGTAAAATAATGTTCTTGTGTTTTCACTGCCTAGATGAGAAAGTGATGGCGGACGATGAATTTACGTGTGACCTCTTCCGTTTCCTCCAGCTTCTTTGTGAGGGTCATAATAACGGTGAGTGTCACTTCCTTACAATGAAGTGTTGGAGACAATGAACCCATATGATACAGACAAATGTATGAAAATGTTGTCCTCCCTACAGATTTCCAGAACTACCTGAGAACACAGACAGGCAGCACCACTACCATCAATGTGATCATCTGCACTGTGGACTACCTTCTTCGACTACAGGTCACAATGATTAACTTATTTCCTGATCTCTTTCCTGTTCACTCTGGACCATAACCTTCTTTCTGCATGTGTGGGTTTTGTTTATTGGATTATTAAAGGATGTTTTAACAACATGATGCAACTTATCACTGTCAGATCTCTTGATTTTTTGAGTGGTTATTATTCAAAGTCAAGACAATAACCACACATGGATTTATATTTAAGATATAGTTTTTATAAATTATAACAAAATTATACTTTAAATTCACTACATTTCTTGTATATTCATTCAAAACTGAAACTTTCCATACTTAATAACATAAACGTTACTATATGGACAATTATATCATTCTTTATTTGTGCCATTTTGTCAGTAAAATAGACTTGGAAAATTAAAAAGATGTTTCTCGTTCTCTATCGTTCTTCCTGTATGCAGGAGTCGATCAGCGACTTTTACTGGTACTACTCAGGAAAAGACATCATCGATGAGCCTGGGAAGAGGAACTTCTCCAAAGCAATGACTGTGGCCAAACAGGTCTTCAACAGCTTGACTGAATATATCCAGGTAAGAGAGTTTCTTTATTAATGATGGGATGGATAACTTTATGGTTTGAACATTATTTTATGGTGACTCAAAAGATCATGCCTTGGACAGAAGTAAAATTCAGGGTAAGCAGTACCTACAGCTATGTAGTTTTTTTTACTGAAGCAAGAGAGGGGTCATGTTTTTATCAGTGTGATATAAATAGTCACTTTTTGAAGTGGGCGGGATGAGTAAGGGGTGAGCATGAACACTGTGAAACACCCACCACAGTAAAAAAATAAAAAAGATAAAATGTAAACCCTTCTTCTCCATTTTGATTTTTACATGAGGATATGTGAATGTATTTATTTAATAGGGGAATGCAGTTTAACACCGTTTCAATACACAGCATGAATCTGATGTTCTGCACAGAGAGTTTAAAGCGATAGTACAGAATGACGTTGTGTTTCTGTGTCCGTCAGGGTCCGTGCACCGGTAACCAGCAGTCTCTGGCTCACAGCAGGCTGTGGGACGCTGTTGTCGGCTTCCTGCACGTCTTTGCTCATATGATGATGAAACTTGCTCAGGTAAGAAACATCAACAATTAAAACATTTTCCTTTTTATAGCAGACATTTGATTATTTCCTGCTTGTCATTAATGGATATTTTCTGGAGTGAAATATTAAAATGTTCTAATGGTGTATTTATTGTAATACAGTGGATTGAAGGATGTTTGAATGAAATCTTTTTATATATATATTTGAATCACTATTTTAGGATTTTATGACATACTAATTTTGTGAACCGTTTCTCTCATGGTTCCTGAAGAGTAAAGTATGTATTTATTTGATTATTCTTTTCTTTAATGAAATTATTTATATAACCTTAATATCTTCCTCCTTTATATATTTTTACCTTTCTTTTCCCCCACTTTTCTTGATCAGAATGTTTTTGCCTCTTAACTGAGTCATTTCAAGTTAAAGCGAGGTAGTTAGACGACTTACTGTCGGTGACAACATCAAGACTGGACCGAGTATTCAGCGTTCCTCTTGAATAAGGTTGAATTTTATACAATATGATAATTATGTACGCTTTATTTTTCAAGCTGTTCAACTCAAGTTAAACTACTATTCTTCTTCTTAATACTGAAAGGCTATTGAAGACATTAATATAGACTTAAAAAAAATGCTTCTGCGCACCTCACTGTCTCTACACACACTAAAGAGTTAACCAGACTTAGATTGCAAACGACATGAATTCCAGTTAAGAGGGCAGAAACAATTTGAGATTAAAAACAGATGTTCTTTCTTTCTCTTTAAAATCTTTCTGATTCTGTCATACAGTTAAACTGTCTTTAAGTATGTATTATGTCATTGTACTGACAAAAGCTTTGTGAGTGATTGTGCTGTGGATAAAGTCTGTTAACTTGAAATAATGTGTGTCTGCAGTCTGTAACTGGTTTGACCTAACACGTCTAACAGTGTGTGATGCTGCTGTTTTCAGTGCATTTTCTTATTTTTAAACCGTCTATATCTTTGAAGTGATTGTTTAGTCTGGTTTTCTAGAACAGGAAATTATCATTCATGCATCTACACTCTTAATATTTCCTCCTTGAAACCCTGTGTTGTGACAAAGAAAGTATCTTCTATCTTGCATTTTAGTTTTGGTTAAGAAAACACATCAGTGTTAATCAACCGCTTTAGAAAAAGGTTTGATTAAAGTTGTTCGGCAGATGATTAAAATCACAAAATGCCGCCAAGCAAGAACTTAAACTGAGAAATAATAATTGATTAAGAGATCATGTCCATTACATCTGTAAAGTAATATCCAGACATGAAGGATAACGTTTTTATTTTCATGTGTTAGATGCATCCCGATCCAGGAGAACGAAATGGCGTAAGAATTTATGTCTCAAAGCCGTCTCATTCAGAGTCCCTCCCATGCTTTTTTAAAGATCATCATGTAAACGATAATCCATCTTAAAACCTTCATCATTTACATCATCCTTATTTCTGTTATTCCTTATAATCATCTCATGTCTTCACCAGCATTATTGCTACTTTCTAACATCAAGGCAGGAGGACAGTGGTCGTCTGTTGAGAGAGTCAAAGAACATTTGTGAAAGTTCATCCACACTTTGAAATATGCAAACCCTTTTAAAAAGATGGTTTACAATAACTAGAAAGTTAGATCACATTGTTTGTTTCACTAATATTTAGTAGACAGCTGCGGGAATCGAGTCTCATGATTGAGTGGTCTCTACTCGCTTTGCTGTTCAGATTTTGAAGGGGCTTCATGAAAAAAGATTAACGACTGGTTATTTCATATTTAAAAGATACATCTCATGTTGTTCCCTAAAGAATCTCAATGTCCTGCTTTGCTTGTTTTCATCAAGCTCTTATAAAGCCCCGTTTCCACCACGCGGTCCGGTTCAGTTCGGTGAGGTGAAGTACACATTTATTGGCGTTTCCACTGTCAGAAGTTTTGAATGGTACCAAAATAACCGATCAGTACCGTCCCACTTTTTTGGTACGCTTCTGTTGGGGTGCCAAGCGTACCGATCCGACCCTATAGGCCGGAGCTAGGAACACTGCAGTCCGTTGATTGGTCGAAAGAATCATCACTTACCGTGCTACAGCGGTAAAAAAGGACAAACACAAAATGCACAATGTTTAAATATCCAGTGGATTTTGAGAGCGTAATTGTCAACACATAGCACCGCACCACGGACAACCTCGGAGATGCAGACTTTCCTATGAATCATTGGTTTTCATTTACTGTGTCAAATTCTTCTTCTTTGTTGAATTTATTGGCTGTCTACACCATGTCACCCCCAAGTGATCTAGGGCTGTGTAAGGGTACGGTTGGCTGTGGAAACGCAAGCAAGATCAGGATTTACCGTACCAAACTGTACCAAACCGTGTTGAACCAAACCTGACCGCTTGGTTGAAACAGGGCTTCTGTGGCGTTTTGTATTGTAGGTCCTTTTGTCTGATGAAGTATTTTAAGGTGCCACTGTAATTTCCCCGGTGAACCGATGCTTGCCCATCCTTACACCAGTCTCCTTTAGATCTCCACCAGCCTGAAAACCCAATAGACTATTGTCTTCTTGTTATCTACTGGTGCTGGTCTTCAGGACTGCTAAGATCAGTCTTACAATATGTGTGTTTGTTTTCCTTGCTTACTATGCTGATGCCACTTAAATGAGGAGAAGGCGCGCTGTCTACCAGAATCATATTTCTCTCTTTCATACCCTCCTGTCTTTCTAGTAGATGTTGTGCTTTCCATCATATAAAAGTGTTCAATTTGTGATGTTACAACACGTATTCTTTATTTAAAAATGCAAACCCAGGATCATTTTTGGAGTAGAGCACACTCTGAGGTAGTTTATTTAATTTTTTGTCAATTTATGTGTCAGAACCCCTCACATATAAACTGTGATTGATCATTAAAAATGAGAAATTTCAGTCAGTAGACTTGTTAAAAATACTCTTTTTTGTGCTGTTTGTTTTTGTTCTGCTGCTTGTTTTGGCTCTGTTGCAGGACTCCAGTCAAATTGGACTATTGAAGGAGCTGTTGGATCTGCAGAAGGACATGGTAGTGATGCTTCTGTCTCTGCTTGAAGGTATGAAGTCCAGGCCAGTCTACTGATGTGTTCTTCTTCTGTTATATACTTTCTACACATTTCTCATCTCCTCTTACCTTGTGCTGCTCTTAGGCAATGTGGTGAATGGCACCATTGCGAGGCAGATGGTTGACATGTTGGTGGAGTCCTCCAGCAACGTGGAAATGATCCTGAAATTCTTTGACATGTTCCTCAAGCTGAAGACATAGTGGCTTCTGACGCCTTCAGAGACTATGTGACCGACCCTCGTGGGCTAATTTCCAAGAAGGACTTCTCCAAGGCCATGGACAGCCAGAAGCAATATTCCCCCTCGGAAATCCAGTTCCTGCTCTCCTGCTCGGAGGCCGACGAGAACGAAATGATCAACTTTGAGGAGTTTGCCGACCGTTTCCAGGAGCCAGCCAAAGATATTGGTTTCAACATCGCTGTTCTGCTCACAAACTTGTCAGAGCACGTTCCCCACGACACTCGCCTTCAGAACTTCCTGGAGCAGGCGGAGAGCGTGCTCAACTACTTCCGCCCTTTCCTCGGTCGCATTGAGATCATGGGAGCCAGCAGGAAGATCGAGCGCATCTACTTTGAAATCAGCGAGGCGAACAGAAACCAGTGGGAAATGCCGCAAGTCCGAGAGTCCAAACGGCAGTTCATCTTCGACGTGGTCAATGAGGGCGGCGAGAGTGAGAAAATGGAGATGTTTGTGAACTTCTGCGAAGACACCATCTTTGAGATGAACATTGCCGCGTCGATTTCCGAGCCGGAGGGAGAAGGTGCAGAAGAAGAAGACGACGAGGAGGAAGAGGAGGGTAAGGGAGATGAAGGAGAGGCCGTAGAAGGCGAAGAGGGCAACGGAGAAGGCGAAGCTCCAGAGTCGACCTCGGCCTTTGCAGACTTTTTGAAGAGTGTGGCCGACTTCTTCAACATGTTCACCTTCGTAACCTGCGGCGACGGTACCGCAAACTACGTAAAATGACGGTGAAGGAGATGGTGATCGGACTGGCTACGTTCATTTACACCATCGTGATGGGTATCCTGATGTTCGTTTACAGCATATGTAAGGGCTTCTTCACTCTCATATGGAAGGTGCTGTTCGGTGGAGGCTTAGTGGAGGGCGCCAAGAAGATGACTGTGACAGAAATCCTAGCCAGTATGCCAGATCCAACGCAGGATGAAGTCCACGGAGACCTGCCACCTGAACCGGGAGCTAGAGAGGACCAAGACGCAGATGGAGGGGTGGACTTGTTAGATGCTGTGGGAGGAGAAGAGGAAGAGGAGGAAGGCGAGGACAGGGAAGGTGGACGCCTGCCTGGTATCAATACTCCCGGGGGACTTGGAGACTTTGGTGAGACGACGCCTGAAGAGCCCCCAACTCCAGAGGGAACACCGCTGCTGAAGAGAAAACTGGTGATTTGCTCTGTTTGATAGTAGTTAACGGTTGTTTCATGACATTCATCTCTGTTAACCAAACGATTAACTGTAAAATATTTATCAAAACAGTTGGCTGCTACAACAGAGGGACAAGGAGAGGAAGACCAACCCGCAACTGAAGAGGAGGCCCCTCCAGAGACTGAGAAGGCAGAGTAAGTTGTCTATATGCTGGGGATAAACATCAAACATACTTAAGATAATGTGTTCTCAGTGTAATACTGAACCTCTGATAGCGAAAGGGGAATTTTGGCTTTAAGCAATGGACACGTGCAATCAACTATCCATTTTGTGCTTTCACATTTTTAATGTAAAAGAGCAAAAATGTGAGGAATAATCAAATCATTATGTGCTGACGTCAGATATTTAAATACATTCAGAGAGTTCATTGTTAAACTTTGGTGACAGGTGACATCATCACGTATCTTTAGGGTGGTCTAAGTTATATTATTAAACACTGAAATGGTGGTAGAGCCCAAAAATTATAAAAAAAAAAAATCCTCTGTTTAGAGTGGAAAAGCACAAGTGTAACCTTCTTATATGTTGTTGTTTTTCAGCACTGAAAATGGAGAGAAGACGGAGAAGGCAGAGCCTGAACCTGAACCTGAGGCAAAGGTGGAAGAGCCCGAGGAGATCGAGGAGAAGACTGTGAAGACCAAGGCGAAGAAGGACAAGAAACATGCAGAGGAGGGCTTTGAGCTGTGGAATGAACTCGAGGTTCAAAGGATTAAGTTCATGGTGAGCGCTCTCTACTGGAGGATATGTTGATGAATAGACTTTTGAAAAGTTTGATTAGTAATGTGGTTAATTAAAGGATGCCTTTAGCTGCAAATTGAACATGGTATGGCAAGTGATTTTCAAAAGATTGTGTTTTTGTTTTAGTTGGTCTTTTGTCCAGAAGTTTTTCTCCATCATGTTTGCAAAAACATAGCATAAGAAGCTTCATACCTATTAACTGTATTCAGTATTTTCCTCATGCTTAATGTTAAAGCAGTTGTTTAACAACTGAATGCATGATTTTTTTTATCTATCCTAATCAAAAATGTGTGAATTGTTATTAATTAGATTTTAATGTAGTAATATTATGCAGTTAAATGTTGGTTTTGGTGCTTTTCTGGTGATTTACCCGTTTCTTTACACACCTCCGCCCTCAGAACTACCTTTCTCGCAATTTCTACAACCTTCGATTCTTGGCTCTGTTCATCTCCTTCGCTCTCAATTTCATCCTGCTCTTCTACAAGGTCGGTGCCTCTGTGACAAACGTATGATCACTCATATAGTATCTCCCCCTCAGTGGGATCTAAAAACGATCTGCAGCTGCATCGTTACAATTTTGTGTGGCAATAAATCAAAGTAGACTAAATTATGCAGAGTTTTATCTCTATACAGATATTATTATAGTATTTTAATTTGAATTTAAAGGGGCAGAATATAATGCACTTGTGAAACATTAACTCAAAACCCCATTTCTTTACTAAGCAATTTTTTTGCACATAAAATACTCTTAAAAGGCTTTCCTTGACCTGCAGAACAAATGTTGTGTCTGACCTTTCCAGGTGTCCGACAGTCCTCCAGGCGAGGAGGACTATGAGGCTTCTGGTCTGTTTGAGGGCTCTGGCCTGTTTGAAGGCTCTGGTGGTGAGGAGGATGGATCTGGACTGGACGATGCAGGGGGAGAAGATGAGGATGAAGAAGGTCCCATGTACTACTTCCTTGAAGAGAGCACAGGCTACATGGAGCCGTCCATGTCTTTCTTCGCTATCATCCACACCCTCATCTCCGTCCTCTGCATCATTGGATACAACTGCCTCAAGGTACACAATGTTTGCTCCGCTTTACCCCCTAAGTTTCCATCTAGGTCTTTGTGTCTGCTGTCAGATTTAATGCAATATGTCTCCTGTTTGCCCAATTCTCTTCAGGTCCCTCTGGTTATCTTCAAGAGAGAGAAGGAACTGGCCAGAAAGCTGGAGTTTGATGGTCTTTATGTCACTGAGCAGCCTGAAGACGACGACATCAAGGGCCAGTGGGACAGGCTGGTGCTAAACACTCCGTAAGAAACCTGTTGCATTATCAGACATGCCAGTCATCTTTGATTCAGGCTGTAGACCTCAAACATACAGCATTAGAAAACTGAGGTATTTCAAATATATCCTATCAAACCAAACTGATGTTTCTCTCTCAATCCAGGAGTTTCCCAAACAACTACTGGGACAAGTTTGTGAAAAGAAAGGTATGTTTCAGCACTGATTCCTCATGTCGGGGATTTATTTTTTCACAGAGAAATAACATCTATGTATTGTGTTCAGGTGCTGGATAAATATGGTGACATCTACGGCAGAGAGAGGATTGCTGAGTTGCTTGGTATGGACTTGGTTTCGCTGGACGTCAGTGCCATGACGCATGAAAAGAAGCCTGAGCCAGACACCTCAATGTTCAGCTGGTATGAACCGTAGTGTGCACTCTTTACATCAAACAAGCCTGGTTTGAACGACCTGATCCTACAGAATAAACTTGTCCTTCTCTCTGTAGGATTACATCTATTGACATCAAGTACCAGATCTGGAAGTTTGGTGTTGTTTTCACTGATAATGTGAGCAAAGCAGTTCATGCTATAAATTAAATAAAACATGATCTGTTTTCAGTGAAGCGTAACAGATGCCCCTCCTTTATCTTTTAGACCTTCCTCTACCTGGTTTGGTACATGTTGATGTCCCTGCTCGGACACTACAACAACTTCTTCTACGCCTGCCATCTTCTGGACATCGCCATGGGTGTGAAAACCCTGCGCACCATTCTGTCTTCTGTGACTCACAACGGGAAACAGGTCAGCGGACGCCCCCGCTCCAATGACGCATCATGAGGAGACGGCACAAATGTTTTCCTCTTAAGAGCTGTCAAAAGACAACATTGTACTGAAAACTGTGTGTTCCCTAACAGCTGATGATGACGGTGGGTTTGCTGGCTGTAGTGGTCTACCTGTACACCGTTGTAGCCTTTAACTTCTTCCGCAAGTTCTACAACATGAGTGAGGATGAAGACGAGCCGGACATGAAGTGTGACGACATGATGACTGTAAGTGGTGGGCAGAGATGTAGAGCAGTAGCATTGAACTTTTATGTTTGATAACATCTGTCTCTCCCTCCTTCAGTGTTACCTGTTCCACATGTATGTTGGCGTGCGTGCTGGTGGAGGCATTGGAGATGAAATTGAGGACCCGGCCGGGGATGAATACGAGCTCTACCGAGTCGTCTTTGACATCACTTTCTTCTTCTTTGTCATCGTCATCCTGCTGGCTATCATCCAGGGTATGTTTGATCAGTGGCTCCCTGCTATGTTATGGTACAAAAAGTAAAATGGCCTGCTTTACATGATTCATATATTAAACAGCATTTAGCTTACCCTTACTATGCAAAGAGTTTGAAATCTAAGCAGGTTGTCTTCTGCTCATAGCGGCAAAAACAGAGTGCATTCAGGCTGATGTGAAAGTTCTTTTGCCTTAGAGAGTCTTCCTAATTGTGGCTTTAAAGATCCTCTTGTCAACGTCGCTGTATTGATCATGATCATATGATTTGGTGTTGGGGGTAATAGGTCAAATGAACTGAATGATACTTTGATAATTATCACCTGATTTTGCAAATCCCCAGTCTAGCATCAACACATCTATCAACTTTTTCTGTTCTGTCTCACTGTAACGATCTTATTCTGGACACACAGCAGGCCATTAGTAATAGTTTTTTTTTGCAGGATTTGAACATTAAGGGCTGAAAATTGTTGAAAACAAGAAAAGGTTGATACAATTTTCCGATACTTAGATACAGTACTTTATCAATAACACATGTTTGAACGATTCAATCTCTGTAATTTAATGATCAATAGTTTTTTAATGATCAATGCATTTATTTAAAGTACAGAGACTTTAAATAAATGCATGTATTTCAGAAGACAGGTGCACAGGAGAGGAATGAATCCATAACTGATTTGCAGGCAAACTGCTGCATACAAACATTGGCAACATATTTGTGCAATTTGTAAAGTGTGCAGGAGTTTGCTTTGCATTTTTTGATAATCGAAAACAAGAATTTACCCAATATTGGGTGGTTGGGACTTCTATCTTTGTTGCCGTGGTATCTAAAGAGGTATCAATATTGTTTGATTTTTAACTAGTGTCATAGTTTAAAATTCTGGTATTGGAACCATCCTACTAAGAGCTTGTTGAGAGACTATATGAGTTCCCTGAAGAACTTTTTGGTGAATGTTCAGACTCGAAAGAAATGCTCTGTGTCCATCAGGTCTGATCATTGATGCCTTTGGAGAGCTGAGAGACCAGCAGGAGCAGGTCAGAGAGGACATGGAGGTAAGATAATGAGCTTCAGAGGGATTTAAAGGGTCTCTTTACCCAGTCCACCTTCAGTCCTCCTTCTGTTAGGAAACCAGAATCTGTTTAACCTGAAGTGTCTTTTCTCCCTGTAGACAAAGTGTTTCATCTGCGGAATAGGAAGTGACTACTTTGACACGACACCGCACGGCTTTGAAACACACACCCTAGAAGAACATAACTTAGCCAACTACATGTGAGTTATCTTTCAAAGTGCATGTTTGACCAACTGAACTTCTCTATGTGTTGTATTTGTGTTGACTCATTGCTTTAACTCCTAAAGATTCAGTAACTCTTCAACCTTTATTTCTTTTCTAAATAATGAGTATGAGTGGATATTATGGTTATTTTTATTATCCTAGGAGGAAATGAAGAGACAGATTTGAACTCTCAATGCTCAGTTTCTGATTATATACTTATCCTGTGCATGAATTTGACCTCTGAGAATTGTAAATAATCTACTTTTTGTCCTCTAATACTTTTGTTCAATCGGCTATTTTATGAAACAACCACCCTGGTGTGATGCTGGATTTCTTTCTCAGTACGTTTCCTCTTTTTCCTTTTTCTCCTCCAGGTTCTTCTTGATGTATCTCATCAATAAAGATGAAACAGAACACACAGGACAGGTGGGTAAACTTAACTTTAAGATGTGCACGAGGGAACGAGGGAGACGTCCTCATTCGTCGTTTTTTTGTCTCGGATGCATTTCTGAACGTCAAAAATATCTTTAATCATCAAGTTTGTTAGAATTCTGCGTTGTGTTGAAACACGTTTTCCCTCTGTGTTTTCAGGAGTCGTATGTGTGGAAGATGTACCAGGAGCGATGCTGGGACTTCTACCCTGCTGGAGACTGCTTCAGGAAGCAGTATGAGGATCAGCTGGGATAAAGCCCTGCATCGTTTTATCTGCGTCTGAAGAGAGAGAGAGAGAGAGAGAGAGAGAGGGGCGAGGAGAGGAGAGGAGGGACATTCAGAGAGAGGACGGATTAGACACTTGTATATTGAACACATCTATTGCCTTAGTTTTTCCCCCTTTGTCTGCACATTTCTCTCTCCTCTGTTGAAGCAATGCACACTTTGGCTCCACTTTTGTACCACCTGTAGTAAAAACGTTGAAGGGATAGTTTGAGAAAAGAAGAAGAATATCAGAGAAGCATCAAAAGACTCAAGGAGCCAGGGCCCTTTAGACTCTGCTATGAATACACTACACGGCCTTTTTGTGTGTAATATATACATAGATTGCCTTACATATCAAAGCATTTATACACAACAGGCTATTTCAGTCGCTACTGCTGTACACGTCATAGTGCCTATAGCAACGTCACATCTAGAGCAATCAGACTGTTTAGATTTTTAGCTTCGATACTTTAGAGTTTTTGTTCATTTTTGTGTGTAAGGTTGGGACGTTTTGGTCTGTGGCCGCTGCCATGGGATGTTTTATTTCTGATGTTTTGTATTCTGCAGCTCACAGTTGTATCTCTGAGATCCTTAAGGAAGCACCGGCGCCCTCTCACTCCTTTCCTCCCTCTCTCAAACGCTAAGGAAACTCGTCTTCAAACACCTTGCGATGAACGGAAAACTTTAAATGGACTGATTTGCCAAGATAATAAACAGATACTCGTCTGCTTATGTGACATGTACCAGTGTAAATCAGCTGTATAGACAAAAAACAGTTTGCACTCTGAAGTCTTACAATGCACTCCTGGATGTATGTGTTCCCCTATCTGCGCTGGTGTCTCTGTACCATATAAGATAGTTCTGATTTACACACACGTACAGTATAGGAGGATGCTAAGGTTATTATTTTATTATTTATATGCAGAACTAAAACTTCTAAAGACGACCGTTTTAGCCCGTCTCTATTTCTGGCCAACAGTGTACTACGACACTTTATGCACAAATAAGTTTCTTGTCAGTGCATTAACATAACTAATGAATGTATTTCATGTATACATTTTGAGTGTCACCTGTATAACTGAGTCATTTCATGGCTGCTTAGAGGCCTTTTGATGAAAAGACATATTTTACATACATCATAGATAACATATATTTATTTTTCCTTTGGGCTTTGGAGAACTTAAATGATCGTGTTACTTTGTTTGGACATGAACATGCCACATGTCCCGTTTGTGAAAAACCCCACAATGGTGAAGAGAATAACTCTCGCACTGAAGTGTGTGCCCAGTTTGCAGTCAGAAGGGGAAAAATTAGCTTTTGTTTTTTTGCGAGTTAGGATTTATGATAGATATTGATAGGAGCAAAGCAAATCATTTATTTTTCCTCACTCAAGACAGTCATGTGTGATGCGCTGATCCCAGACAGTTCTGTCTCTCGATGCCTTTTCCAGATCACACCCTCCACCCTGTAGTTAATGTCATGTCTCACTTTGTCGGAGGCAGAGCAGTATTTTTTTGCCGCTGACGCCTCTGAAGTGAAAACTTGTAGCTGTGGTCCACACGGGGGGCAGCTGATGGTACGGAGCTGGATGGAGATCATTACTTTCCACGTGACTGAGTGTCTTCTGACTGAACCTTGTGTTTCAATACAGAATAAACAGATTATTTTAAAGAGAACTGGAGCATGCGTCCTCATTGACATGAAGGCTTCTCTATGCACTTCCTGCACAATATGCACATTCAAATGTGAAAATTTAAGCTTCATGAGAATTAGTTTACATAAATAAAATTATGCATTTATATACTTGTCATGCATTTATATACTTGTCAGTAAGTTTTTGCTCTGTTAGCCTCAAACAATGTTCAGGATCTTTTCTTTCTTTATTTTTTCAAGGTGTCTTTCTGACCGACATTGCTCTGAATATCTTCACAAATGTGCAGCTAAAGGAAATATTTGATATGCATTTATATCAAACTAATAATATGAAAACAGATTTAGCATACAGGAAGTGAATGCTTAACATTTTGTCACATAAGACATATCTCTTATCTTTTCCTGTGTTTCTGATTTAACTTATCAAACTGACACAAAATTTTCTTTAACCATTCACAGCTTTCATACTTTACGAGGGGCAGTCGACCCTCAGACTGTATCTCGACATGATTAAGATGCTTACTGTTTGTTACCTGTTCCCTCTCAGGTGTCTGCACATGCAGCTTCATGCAGGCTGGGCAGAACTATCTAAATCAAATATGTGCACTCTTGTGCTTTAAACAGGAAACACCCTGGTATTTCTATCGCAGGCTTTGTGTGTGGCCAACCACCATCATGTTTATTTTGTTAAGTATGTGTGGCCATAACCCTCTGCCTCCATGAGGTATGCATATAAAACTGCTCTAAATGTGCAGACCTGAGTAATCGATTGTTTGCCTTAGGTTCACAGGCTGGTAAACTGTGACACCCGTGTTTAATCCATGGGGAGTAAACAATGTTATCTAGTTAATGTGCTGAGCAGAGATCATGTCTCCAACACACACCTCCACTTTGTGAAATCTAACATTTTCCTACTGGCCAAACAATTAGAATATTGTGATAGCAGAAACTTTTACGTTGTGTATTGATGACATAAAGCCATAATAATGAACAATCAGAAATAAATGCATTTTCAACCTGTAGCTAAATTCAAATTTAGGTCATTAAATATACATTTTTATGTGTATTTATTGTACCCTGCTTACATTGAGAAAGACTTGACTTTTTGCAGGACTACGTGAATGACCTCTAAAAGAGCATCTTCATCTAGATAGTTTATTCTAAAACCTTTTTTTTAGTAAAGCATCTGAACACGTCATCGTCTCGCTTCACTTGCTTTCTTGCTTTTGGGCGGCAGTAGCTCAGTCTGTAGGGACTTGGGTTGAGAACCAGAGGGTCACCGGTTCAAGTCCAGTGCAGACCAAATATGGAAGTTGGTCTGGTAGCTGGAGAGTTGCCAGATCACTTCCTGAGCACTGCCGAGGTGCCTTGAGCAAGGCTCCATCACTCTGACATCTCTCCATTAGTGCAGGATCCTGTTTGTGCATGTGTGTGTATATTCAGCCTGTGTGTGTGTTGCATGGTTAACAGACTGTAAAAACAGAAATTTCCCTTGCAGGAATCAATAGAGTAAATCTTAAGCTTTCACATTTTCATTCATGTTGGTTTTTGGTACAGCTCACACTCATAAAAAAACCCAGCCTTTCTTTAGTTATAAGATGCCACTCCTCTGCTAGGTCAGAGGTTATTGTGTGTCTTGTTCCTCCAAAGGTGATGCAGGCCTGGGTTTACCTGGTCCCTCCCTCATCACTGTATAAAAACAAGACGTCCAGCAGAGACCAGTTTGTGACAGAAACCCCCCCTGACTCTCTGCTTCTCCATCTCCCCGTCATCTCACCGTCTGCTGCTGCCATGTTTGTCGCTCCTCCTGGATACCAGCCGGTCTACAGCCCTGTAAGTATCTGCACACACTGCTGAATGTAAAAGGATATAATCATTCCTTTATGTGTGCTTTGGTAGGTAATCTAGCATTAATGCAAGTGGACTAAGAAATAATCAGCAGCAGAACAAGCAATGCAAAAAAAAAAAATGCAAGCATGGCACTTTTCAGACAAAGGAGTCCAGTTTAGACATTCCCAGAAACCATTTTTTTTCTCTTAATGTTCATGTTACTGACTGGAGAATAATAAGACTCAAAATCTTTGTTCAAATTCAATCAAATTCTTTGTTTATTCCGACTATTTTCTGATATTTTTGTCCACATAATACCAGTAAAAAAATACTTACAGGGCAACTTTTGTGCAGCACTTTTAATTTGCTGCTTCTGTATTTTGAGAGATATGCTGACATGCAGACGGGTTCTGTGCAGAGAGGGTGAATATTTTTTTGTGTGTTTTATACAGAGTATTCCCTATCTGGGGCCTGTTTATGGAGGCCTGAGGGAGGGATCGTCCATCTACATCCAGGGGTCCATACCTGAGAACATAACCAGGTGACAGCAGAAAACATGAATCTTAAACGTTGCACACTTTGACTCTGTAAACTTCACTTGATCTTGTAGAAAGATTTGAGAAAAGGAAACCACCTTAAGTAAACTAACTGTGGGTGGAGCAGCTTTGGATTGTTGCACCTCATACCAGGTTTTTTTTTTTACACACACCTCCACTTTAGCGTGTATGGCTCACCTTTTCAAAATAGTAATACCTTTGGTTCCAATGGCACTTAAACAGAACATTAACGGACAAAGTCAACACTGCACATTCCTGACTGTATCGTTATGCGGGGGAACAGTTTCTTTGCGGTCGACCTCACCTGCTCTGTTTGCATTTCTTCTGCTTTCTGACTAACATCTCAGTCACTTCAGGACTCAGAGACACAGAATGACTCTTGCTTAACCTGAGTTTCGCTTTGCTCAGGTTTTTTATGAACCTGCTCTGTGGACAGTCTGAGTCCAGCGACGTGAGCCTCCACTTCAACCCTCGCTTTGACGGCTGGGACAAGGTGGTCTTCAACTCTCGTCAGGATGGGTCCTGGAAATCGGAGGAGAAGATTCGCGACATGCCCTTCTCCAAAGGCAAGGGCTTTGAAATGGTCGTCATGGTAACGTCAAAGGGATACCAGGTAAGATCAACCAGAAATCACATGATGACTACAAACTGCTTTCATTTTTGATGATTTGTAAATTAGAGTTCATGAATATCATATTCTGCACCAGTAAATATCCCACATTTTTTCCGTTGCAGATCAAAGTCAATGGGAAAGACTTCCACACCTTCAAGCACCGTCTCCCAGTGGAAAGAGTTTGTGGGATCCACATCGCGGGAGATGTTTCCATCCAGACGATTAATGTCATCGGGGTGAGGCTTCAGGGCTCTGAAGATTTCAGCTGTTTGCTTTGGGCTTTGCTGCTGCAACAGAAATTACACAGAGGCTTGTAATCATAATAAATCATGAACATCTGATTGCTAATGCTTTCTGCTTCTGTGCCAGGGAGCTCCAGGTGGCATGAATAGGTATCCTGGAGGAATGGGAGTGAGTAAAAAAAAAAGCAAAAGTTTAAATTTACACAGTATTTGTGCTTGCTTTGTTTTGCTGGGATTTTTTTTTTTTACATCAATATACTTAAAAATGATTTTCTGCATCTATTATTGTCTTGAATCAGTCAGTGTGGTTGCTATAGGATGTTAGTGTAAATATGATATGTTATGATGTGTTAATTCATCTGATTATTGTCAACGTTAATCCAAAGAAATCTATTTTTTATTCCCACAGTATAACCTCGATGTATAACCTCTGTCATTACAAAATAAAACTAACTTACATGTGAAGAGCTTCCAAAAAATTCCAGCTGAAGTTGAATCAACATTATTAATATAATAAGCGATTTATTACACTTTTTTATTGGATAATGTTTTCTATAATGTCTTACTCATTGTTTTGTCTTTTCAGGGTGGCATGGGAGGAGGAATGGGAGTAAGTAAACATAATATAAGTGTAAAAGTATAGACTCATTAAACTCAGCTTTGTACAGGATTAACATGTTCACCACATTTCAACAGGGGGGATATCCAGGAAGTGGCATGGGGGTATGTTCTGTGATTGTTTTTAACTTGAGTGTAGTTGGCTTTAAATATTTATAAAAATGTAAAGAATTACATTTTGCCTATTTTCACAAACCCTTACTTCTTTTATCTAACATCCAGGGAGGATATCCAGGTGGCATGGGAGGAGGACAGGGTGGAGGAATATCAGTAAGTATGTTAAGAAATCATTTATTTTTACTAACATTTTATTAACACATCATTGTATAAAATTGCATCACTTTTCAACAGGGAGGATATCCAGGTGGTGTGGGAGGAGGACAGGGTGGAGGAATGGGAGGAGGTGTGGGAGTAAGTATTCTTACATGCAACAGCCCACAAGTGTAACAACTGATTAAGTTCTGTGTAACGGAGTGTTTATTCTGTCCATCACTTTGTAACAGGGAGGATATCCAGGAGGTGGCCCAGGGGTGATTAAAGCCTTTTTTTTCTTTTCTTCATTATTGGTCAAATTCAGAAATATAATATATTGTACATGCTTGTAAAAAAAGGTAGTTATGAGGCTAAATCTATTTTACTGGCTATAAATCACTCAAAATGACATTATGTATTGGATTTTTTAAATCTTTTTTTGCAGTGTGGACATCCAGCAGGCATGGGAGGTGGTAACGGGGTATGAAACATTGTTATATCCACTGATTTTATTTTATTTTGGCACTTTGAATGCAAAAATTTGAAAACTGACAAAAATGACTAAATTTGTACTTTCCCGCCCTTTTTCTTCAAAGGGAGGATTCCCAGGATCAAACCTGCCGGTGAGAAAAAGTGCATGACATCGATCTATGTATATGTGCTTTATCTTTCCTCTGGTGGTACCATCTTGACTCTCTGTTGATCTCATTATAGGGAATGGGTGGCCAGCCAGTCTACAACCCTGTAAGTAAAATGTGTTCCACACAGCCTCTGCTTAGAGATACATGTACTTTTTTTCAAAAGTTAATATTTAGCATTTTACTTTGAAGGTCTTAACCGGAAACCATAGACTGTAAACCAATGTCTAACTTGACTACGGGGGGTCAAGAAGACCGCTGGGATGATATTATTTTGAATGAGTGTATTTACTGACATCTGGTGGTCATTTGGTGGAACTGCAACTTATTCAATTTGTCAAAAAATAACATGATAGTAAAGTTTCCAGTTAATTTTTCAGGGTTACGTGAGGGAGAGATGGAGTCTTGCTATTACTAGCAGCTGACTGTGATACTGGTTGTATGGAGTTACGCTTGTCTACTGCCCTCTTGTGGTCGCGGCAGGAACAGCAACAACGAATAAATTATCGTAATGATATCGTAATTGAATATTAACATGTATTATTGTCAATAGTTGTAACCAAGCTTGAAGATATGGTTGCAACAGTTTAAATTAACCATAGACTGTAAATAGGTGAATGATGGCGTAGTTAGCTCAAAGTGACATTCTTACTGCCCTCTTGTGGTCAGAAAGAGGAACTGCAATACCTTTAATTCACTATAAAAATTAAAAATAAAAATAGATATGACAACACACTCTCTGCATGTCTTCCAGGGAACATAAGGGGTAATTTAAGCATTAGAGGAGCATTTTTAGATTCACTAGCATGTAAGGTTATTTTATTCTACGAGTAACGAGTAACGATCAGAAACGGTAATCGCCCCCTCCCCAGTAGTCTCCCCTTGGAAATGAGTGTTCACTTTCCTCTTGTGGTCACAGCAAGGAACAGCAACACTAAATAAAACAAGTTAGAATCAATGTGTATAAATGGTAATGTCGTAACACTTCCGGTAAAACTTTCAAAAATAAAATATTTCATAATCTATTTTGGGAATATGCATTTTTTTTGTATTTTGGTTATGGGTATTGATTATTTACCCATGACATCACCGTCAACCTGAGTTAGCACTAGTACTATAAAGCGTGTAGCTTACAGCTTATAAAATTTGATTCTGCTATTTGTGAGGACGACTGAAAAACTAGGCTACTCTAAATTATCTCAGTGATGGTTAGTTAAATCAAAACAAAACAAAACACAACACATGAATGCATGTCTCGTATTAAACGTAGTGTGTTTTGTCTCAAAGAACTAAGGTAGTAGATACTGTTCGTATTCACTGCCCTCTAGTGGCGACAGACAGGAACACAAAGCTCTTTTTGTACAGTTTATGTTGTCGACATGACAACAGTCTATTACCTGTGAAGATAGAGAGAACAATAGCTTTAAATCACAAAATATAAATAATATATGGCTTATACATTAAATGGTCCAAGCAGATCTTTATGGATAGGGAAAAAGAAAGTTTCAAATTCAGTCTTTCTGCTCAAAGCACAGTTATGAAACACCTTTAAGAAACTGCAGTCTGAAGATGGTTGTATCCTAAGATGAGAGTGACATTGCAGGGTCTGACGAACTTAAAATTGTCTCCTAAAAAATATTGCAAGACAATTTTAGCCTACAGTTTTATTTCCATGATGTTATCTGTGTGAGCCTCATACAGCCTCTTATTAAACCTCTGATTTTGTTTTTCCTGTGTGTCTGAAGCCTGTGCCCTACTCAAACATGATCCCAGGAGGGATGTCCCCTAAGAGGACCATCATCATCAGGGGAATGGTGCCCAATGGAGCAAACAGGTGTGTATTTGTGAGTACATAGTGACTGTAAAGTGAAAGTCTGATTGCAAACAGACACTGTTACACTCGTGTGTTGTGTGCTGCAGGATGAGCATCAACTTCATGGTGAGCAGATCTCGAGACGTCGCTTTCCACATGAACCCCCGCGTGAGAGAGGGGATCGTGGTGAGAAACAGCAAGATAGGAGGCAACTGGGGCCAGGAGGACAGAGAGCTCAGCATGAACCCCTTCAAGGAGGGACAGTACTTTGATGTAAGTTCTGTCTGTCGGTATGATCGGCCAATCTGATGACTTTCTATTTCATTCTGTGTGGTCAGTGGTAGACTGATATTTCCACCCTTGTTTCTCAGATGTCTATTCGCTGTGGGAATCAGAGGTTTAAGGTGTTTGTGAACGGGCAGCACTTGTTCGACTTCTTCCACCGCCTGCAGTCCTTCAGTGAGATCGACATGCTGGAGATCGAAGGAGACGTGCAGATTTCCTACATCCAGTTTTAAAGAGCACACATTTCTACAATAACTTACAGATACCGACAGAAGTCATCTCTTCTCAGCCAATGCTTGATCATAAATCCTAATCACAGCTCGTCATTGGTTGGACAGGATTAACTGAATAATTATCATTTACCAACACATGTAATGGATGAGAATAATATTAGCCACATTAAAACAAAAGAAATGAATTCTATCATGTTGATAATTTTTATTTCTTATACAAAATATTGTAGGTATTGTATCAAAATTTGTTTACAAATCATGACGATATAAAGGCAACTATAGATATATACAGTCTTCTCCCAATTGAACACACCAGGAGAATCACAATCACACATCACCTGTGATGATGAAAACACTGGCTCTCTGAAGGCACTGAAGGTTAGGTGATGAAATTCATAGATGTAAGGCAGAATGAGTCATGAGGGATTTTCACTTTTGCTGAATTATACTTTACAAGATGTTTCTTTTCAAAGCCCAAACACGGTTCTTGGTGTAACCACGTTGTATCATATTCAAATGTGAAATGTTTTTACAGAACAAAATAAAGCGTGCCTCAGTCTCAGCAGCGCGTCCTGTGGTTCACAAACATTGTTTGACTTTCATTCTGAGTACACAGTACCAAAGGTATTTCAAGAAATGTACATGTCCTCTTAACTACCCCCCACTGTCTACTCGTTTTATACACAAGTACCTTTTGATGCAGCAGAAAAACACAGCACCTCATTCAGACAAATGTTCTCCCAAACTGTGTTGAAATGTGGTCCAATTCAACGACAAACTATGACCTTAAACAAATATATTTATGTATAAAAATAAGTGCATGCATGATGCAAAGTTGCAGCTGGTGAATTACCCAAAGCTGACGTTTGGAGGACCACACTTTCGTTTGTTTTTTCATCCGCTGCTTCCTGTGTCCTCATGCTCGACTCTGCGTCTAACAGACTTCTATTTACAGCACTGAACCTCGAGAAACAAACACATCCCCAAAATCAAAAGTGGCACGGTGATGTCAGATGACGAGGTTAGTCATGTTTCCCAGTCCCCGCTCATTTACTGAGAACAATCCTTCGACTGGATATCAGCAGCCCTGCCATGCTTCACAGGCTTTGTTCTCGGTCTTTATGAATATAAAGGGTTGTTACATGTCGGCCGACTTCATGCAAGGCATTTACAGAATGTCCAAAACGTAAAAAACAAAATCCTAAAAAGATATACAAATAACATAAAACATTAGTGCAAAGTTGTAGAAATAAAAAAAAACAGCATAAAACAAATACACTTGTAATAACACTGTGCTTGAGTCTAACACAAGGTGAGGAGCTTACTCCATCGACTGTACCGACTCTCTCTCTCCGTCAAACTACCTCTGAGTGTTTGTACCCTCCAGATGTGACCAGTACCTCTGTTCCTGCTGAGTCTCAGCTTCCTGAGTTAGGACATAGATGTATAAACCAGGTGAATCAGGACTTGTAAAAGGTGAGGAAAGATGGCTCATGGTGCTTGAAGCACGACTAGCAGTAGAAGACCTGGAGAAGATTCAGGGGTTTAATATGATGTCATGCAAACAGAGTCCTCTTTTCAGCAGCTTCATGAAATCTGCTCTAATCCTGCAGTATTAATGGTTGTTTTTAAATGTGATATGTAAGTCAGCTGATGTTGGGAAATGGAGTCCTAACTTTTAAGAATAGCAATCATAAGGTTACAAGATTTTCATGTTGGGGAGAACGTTCTTCCATCTGTTAACCAAAAACAAGAGCTTAAAGTATAAAAATCAGGGTGCAACAACAAGTTTTATGATTTCAGCCCAAGAATCCCGAGTAGTCCTTCACAAACGTGCGTCAACATGACCTTTAAAAAAGCCGGTCTGCTCCTCCAGATCCCCTCGGATCTTGCTGCAGGAGGATGTACTGATGCAGAGATTCAGATGGGTGAGTTCCTCCATCCCTTTCCTCAGCTGGTGTGAGTCTTCTACTTCAGCGCTTTCTCCATGGACAGTTCAAGCTCCTGAGTGTGTTTGGTTGTGTGTCAGTCTGGCAGTGTGTGAGCTGGTTTCACAGAGACTTTACTTCTTTCTTTTTTCTTTTTTTTTTTTTAGCTTAAAGACGTGAAGGAGGATAACTCTTCTGTCTACAAGGTAGTCGGTATTTTATTGCTATAGCGTCAGGGGTGTGTGGATTTCTTTGATTGTGCTGCGGTGTATGTTGCATGAATTTTCCCTCCAGCCACACTGATCTCATATTTCTGTAACACTCACTCGTAGATGTGTTCATTTAGAAGGGAGGGGGGGGGGGCAACAACACAAATTAAAAAAAACAATCCTGGACTTCCTTGGAATGCATTCTGCTGAGTGTGTGTGTGAGAGTGTTTGTGCAAATCATGTATTCAGGTGTCTTACAGTCAGCAGCGAGAGGCTGGTTCCCGTTCTCTGCCTGGAGCGAGGATGGCACAGTTTTTGGCAGTGATGAGTAACTTTTTTTAAGAGTAAAGCCATCATTGCCAGGGCATTTTCCTGGACCCCTCCCTGTCCTCCTGCAGCTCCACAGTTGGGGTGGGGTTTGGGGTGGAGTGGCAGGATGGCTGTAAGGGCAGCGTGGCTGTGGAGGACGACACGGGCATGTCCAGGCTCTCCAGGGAGTCACACAGGGCTCTGTTGGTCTCGTGCTGGGGGCAGAGGACGTACCGGTTCGGTTGGTGGACCTCCGCCGTGGTCACCGAGTCAAGACCCTTCAGGCAAAGAGGAGACGGACCCCCAATGGGGTCGCGGCCACCGACGGCACCGAGCTCCATGGAGGACTCGTCCATGTTGACGTACAGGATCTCGTCGGGGTCCTGGGGGTCTGGCAGATCCTCCAGGGCCTTTTCCAGCTCCCAGCACAGAGACTGAAACGATGGACGATCCTTCGGGCTCAGAAGCCAGCAGGAGAACATGATGGAGTAACTGGAGAGAGTGAAGAAGAGCGTTTATCAAATGTGTTTTTTATTGTAGTAAATTAATACTGACATATATTTAAATATATTCAAGTTAGGAGGATTTGTTATTATGAGAAATATTTATCTTTTAAAGAAAAAAACTGTAGGAAAACCATGTTTGAACACAAATCTCGAAATGAAATCATCACTAAGCCTTTTGAGAATCAGGGAAACTGGACTAGCTCTTATTGCTTTATGTTAAAAGAGCGTCTTCTAATCAGGAGTCAAAGGCTTCCTTTGTACTTCCTCATGAACTGAGGGTGAAGGACCATCACTCACATGCTGTCCAGGCAGTCCGGAGGCTGTTTGAGACGGTTCCCCTGTCTCAAGTAATCATAAATCTCGCTGTTTTCCACCCCAGGGTACGGAGTCTGACCCCGCGTGGCGATCTCCCACATGGTGACTCCAAACGACCACTGAAGGAGACGGACAGAAGGAAGGACGTGTAAGAAAAAGTACAGAGGAGGAGGGGTTAGGGATGGGTGGAATTCCTTCAGATTTGACTCTTTCTGCGACCCCCTCAAACATGAATCTGCTCCGGTTAAACATAAGCTCTGGATGTAACACAGCCATGTTTGTCCAGTCATCAGGACGTCCTACTTTACGCTCAACTCACTCAAGAGTGTACATCATTTTAATCACTTTTAATCACTTTCACATGCGGAGGGTCTCTGCAACATAAATGCAGATATATGATAATATGTATGTACATTACAGCTGGAATTCAGTGAAATATCTCAGAACTATTGATGTTATCTTCTCCGTTTTAAAGAGTAAATACTAAATATATTCACCGTTTAACTAAATATGGACTCAAATTTGTTCTTTTGTAAGACTGAAGTCAGTGCACTACTACTACAAATAACAGCTGCATGCCTAACTAAGATGATAATCCCCCCAAAATGGACTTTACAACTCTTTACCCTGCAGCCACAGAATACTAAGGCTAAAACATTTCTTCTCCTCTCCTCTCCTTTTAGCACCAAAAGAGCTTTAAATAACGTAGTTGGTGACATAGTGCTGACATGATCATGGATTTCTATTCACTAAGCTTACATATGGAAAGTAGGGTAATGGGTTATGCAGTATAATTTTTGACCTGGAAATTTATCACCACTAAAATAATTCATTGTTATCAGGAAAAAAAGACTTTTAAAGACGTTTGATTTACAACAGGCAGGTTTTAGGGTGGAAGCATAATTCTAAAGATAAACCAAATCTGTTAATTAACCCGTGAGTCCCTGAAATGTGAAACACATACACGCTCTACCATGCAGTTGATACAAAGACACACTAAACTGACACACAGTGGGGGAACTGACCACGTCACTCTTGGTGGTGTACACTCGATCAGCCAAGCTTTCGATGGCGATCCATTTGACGGGCATCTTTGAGATCCGGCCCTGCCTGTAGTAGTCCCCGTTGTAGATCTTCTTGGAGAGGCCGAAGTCAGCCACGCACACGTTCATGTTCTCGTTCAGCCTGAGGCAGAGAGAATAGCAGAGTGTTACAGGGCGGTTCAGATTTACATGAAAGCTACCACTTTATGTTTTATGAGCTCATGAAATATGTTGAATGGATGACTAAACTCACTCACTCAGAAAAAACTCAATGCCAAAGTGAGAATGTCTTAACTTTCCTGAATCCAAATCTTCTCCTTGTTCCTCTTTACCAAATATATGGCACAGTCTCAGGGTCTACTTTTAGTTCTTCATTTCAAGTTTTTTCAACTATTGCATGCAGGGTCACAACAGAAAGCGAAAGAACAAATGATAAAAGAAGAAAGGGAAGCGAAAGAGTAAAAAGGGGAAGCAGCGATTGTGCTTACATGCAGTTGCGAGCAGCGAGGTCTCTGTGGATGAAATTCTTGCTGCTGAGGTACTCCATCCCTCGGGCAATGTCGGTCATAAACTTCACCAGCATCTGAGACGGGAGGTACTGCAGGACAGCACAAAGAGGAAAACACATTTCATCACACATCCACCACAGCTGACATTTCATTTTCTTAAACAGCAGAGGGCGCTAGAGTCCGTCTCTGCCGGTCTGAACTGAGCGCTCCCTGCTCCACATACTAACAGCTTTTTTCCTGTGGGAAGAATCAGCACCATTGTGTTTTCTGAACGCTTGCCGAACTCTCGGATATTTCAACATTCTGCAGGAATCTTTTTTCGATTAGGCTTGTGTTTCTCAACCAGATTCTTCAGGGACTTAGTGCGTATAGCGGTTCTCGATTCCAATAAACCATCTCATCCATTTAGAAGTAGATGTCACACTGACTGTGTGTTTCCATGACTTCAGAGTGTGCATGCTGCCAAAAAAAGTCTGTACGGGGACTCACTGTAACAAATACTCTACGTCTATGATGACCTTTGGATACCATTCTGCTGACAGACTTTAACATGTATATGAACTTCTCAACCTTTGAACCATAAACAGTTCAACTTGTGGTTTTGCTTGACCGCTTGCATGTGCATGTGTACGCGTGTGTTGCTGACTCTGTGCTTTTTATTGTTTGTAATCAGACTAACCACAGGACAGTCTCCCAGCCGAGAGTAGAGCAGATAACTGTGCAGGTCTCCATGTTTCATGTAAGGCAGGATGACCACGGGGGAGGGGTAACCTTCACTCTCCACGGTCTGCAGACACACACCTGTAAAAACACCACACGGCTTAGTCTCATACATACACACACACACACACGCATACATGTTCTGCTCATTTAACGAGCAACATGCTAGGGTCCGTTAACCTGAAGCGGAAGGAAGTGAACATATTCTCTCACCCAGCCTTCGTAGTATATTGGCATGCAAAAAGTTTTACTTTAATCTGCAATATCTGGATATTTGTGTCAAATATTTCTACACACTATTAAAACACATCTCCCTTTTACTCTTCATAATGTAAAAATGATAGAAAAGTTAAACCACAAATAAACCAAGTAACAGGACGGTGATTATCCTGAACAACTTGGACATGGTCTTTCTAAAACTATGAATCTTAAAAGTCATCTCAGCTGTTTCTACCTTAAAACTCAAAAGACAAAGAAACCCATCATTAAGGGCTACGAGAGAAACTGTCCATCTGTCATTTGAATCCTGACTTACCCAGAAGCCTCATGACATTGGCATGGTCAAACTCTTTCATGCAGGCAGCCTCGCGCAGAAAATCTTCCATCTCTGAGCGTGTACAGATGGCAACTGGAGAGGAGACGGTACACAAGTGAGGCCATGTGGTTTGTGTACAGCTCGTGGCACATTGACAGGTTGCAAATAAACTTTTATCTCAAAAGGGTGTTTAAGCTCCTGAAATGATTTCACTATAAACTGTTACGTGTAAACAGTTCCATCCACTTAATGTGTTTTAATATAATCTCACACAGAAAGGTGGCCCTGTTTTCAGTCTCTACAAATTAATCTCTTGTAGAGTTTTCATACAATTGTGTTTAGTTTTACGCTGCGGTTTTTTTAATGGGGTCAACTTTTCCTTCTGCCAATATTCTCTACAAGCTGAGCCTTTGTCTGTTTTCTGATAAAGAACTGAAATTTTAGCACAAAACACTTGTTAATTTCTGACCCGAGGGGCTGTCTGTCAAATGGCCAGTGTTTCCAAAGATGAAGGGGGATCATTGTGGTGATCGCTGAGCACTTGAACTGTCTACTCACTCTTCATGGTCTTGACAGCAACTTTGAGAACAGACTCCTCCTGAGTCAGAAGGCCCTCCATCACGGAGCCGAACTCCCCTGAAGAAAGAAAATGAAACCACATCAAACACTCGGTTTAGATGACACTTTATTATCAAACAGGGAAAGGTTGTTAGTGTCCGGATTGGAGGGAGTGCAGGGTTACTATATTGTTACACTGTTACACTATAACTAAGGTCAAAACATACGAGTGTCTTTAAGAGAGATAAGTGGAAATCAAGCTATGTTGTTCTGGCTGTTCAATCTTGCATATGGACTATGTACCAACCCTGACATAAAGCGTTGATGTGTTTCACCTTGCTGTTAGTCTGTTACTGTACATATTAACTCCAGGCTGTCCCAGAAAATGACACTGATACAAAACAAACAGTACCTTCTCCCAGCGTCTTTCCCAGGGTTAGTTTATGTCTGTCCACCATCACGTCTTGGAGCTTCTGCTTCAGCTCGTCGCTGATGCCAAGGCTGTTCACTGAGGGGGGAGAGAATAAGGAATTTTAATGGTGTTTGGAGCCCGGAGTTCTTTAATGAACAACAAAGAAGAGAGAGAGAGAGAGAAAAACAGCCAGATTGTAAAAGCACAATGCGAAACACGAAGCCAAGAACAAAGTGTGAATAAACCCAGCTAGCTTATACAGCAATAAAAAAAGACTGATTTAAAACATGCTGTCTAGTCTTTAAACCTCCCATATTAAATACTAATTAAATATTATTCGATTTTTGTTCTGGGGAAAGAAAATGTGTTTTTAACATCAAAGTTTCTGTTTCCTATATATTGATCTGTTTAGTAGCTATTTTTAAATGCACAGCTTCCCTTTCCAAAACTAATGAACATACTTCTTCTCAATGTCAATATGGCCTTTAAAAGATTTTAAAAATGCACTAAAACACAACCGTGCAGAGATTTTCTGACATGGAGTCTCCATTTTTTTCTCAGACCATATTTCAGGTGTGGGACAGATGAGCGGTAATCCTGCAGGGACCGGGTTGGGAAGTTGATGTCAGGAGGATTTTAATCTTGTTTAAATGTTCTCCTTCCAGCCAGCTGGCCGTCACCGAGCTGTGTGAGCGTTGAGCAGACCGAGCATCAGACGTTAGCTCTGTTTTCACATCTGGGCCAGAATATGACAAGGCAACGACATGATCTGACACCCCCCTCCAGCTGCTGCTACACGATCAATCTGCCACGCGTCCAACAACAATGCGCTCACTCCACAGGCATGTTCTGACATATGCTGCAGTGACCAGTCATTAGGCGGTGCATGCAATAATCGATGTGTTGGGAGATTTGGCCAAACATACTGGTCAACAGCAGCAGCAGAAATCCCACCCAAATCCCTCCAATCTGACCTCTTCCTTTATTCCCAGCGAGCTTTCCTCCCCACATTCAATTATCTGCACATCTCATTCTCTCAGCTAGTATCATTTTACCAACTGAATACATTTCTTTTTTTTCCCTTTCTCCTCCAAAGTTTGGTCTCCCCCTGTCCTCTTTGTGGCTGTGGCAAGCTGAGACTTGTGTCAAATATTGTGCGTACACCGGGGACAATGTCAGGGCTTGAATATGACCCAGCTGTGTGAAATGTGAGACTGCGTGCTGTGTTTACAGGTACGTATCTCTGTCTGTAATCACGAGAAGACTTCACAACCTCCTACTAATCACTGCTTTGTATCCCACTATGAGGTTGTTGCTGCACCTGGACCTGGTTCCAAAGGTGGAAGGACTTTTGACTCCAGTGAGAGCGCGCAAGAAACTCCTCATTTGTTGTTACAGGCTGCTTTAGTTTGAAATCTCACACATATGAGAGGACCATAAAGTCTTATGTCTCTAATGCAATTATATCCTCTTTCCCACATCGTCCACCTCTCCAATATGCCGTTATCCCTGTATGTCCCTGTCTCACCTCCTTCCTCTGACTCTGTCAGTAAATACCTGAAATGAAGTCAAGTCAGAGCTAATTGTTTTCACGCCTGATTGTACAGGACAGGACTTCATGAATGAGTTTTCTGCACATCTAACCGATAGGATTATAAAAAACATTGAATGGTGAGTTAAAAACATCGATTGTGGAGGATCATAGGCGGAGATTTAATTAAAAGTCCTTTTGCACGCACTACATTAAAACTAATGTGTATTTCAGTAAATGGAGTTAAATTAGGGAATTTTCTCGATAATCTTTTAAAAGGTGCTCAACTATCATTCAATTTAAAAGAATGTATAAAGAAAAGGTTCGGGGAAATTATGAATGTATTGAGTTAAGTGATTGTATTTGATTGTCTCTATGTTGTTGATCTACTTTTTGTTTTGTGAAAGAAAGAAAGAGAAAACAACAGGTTACAACATCTTATTCTGTTAAACAGTGTCTTGTGTTATTAGGAAAAGGGGGGGCAGGTATTATACGTTTTTCTTCTTCCTGCTCCTGTTTGCTCATGAACAGTGTTTCAGTATTATGAGGAAATATTTCTTGTTGTGTTTTATTGTGTTGAAACCATAAACTGAATTGAGCAAATAAATCAAATATGAAATGATGAGTTAAATAGTGCAAAGGGGCACAGTGTTGTTGTGGAGTATGTCAACTGTCTCAACACTTAGGGGATGTTTTTACAGCTCTGAGGAATAAAATAATCTTTAGCAGACTCAAATCCTTTCCTTTGATCTCCTCAATGAATCATTCCTTTCCTGAGAAGGGGAGAATAGAAACTATCAACATGTGTCATTACAGTTAAGCATTTCCTTCCATGGAAGTGCTGGATCCAGGCCCGGGGCTGACGAGGGGATACTATTAAAGTGCTTTTTTTTTTGTATCACTATCTGTCCTAGGGGCAAGAGGCAGGTTTGGGCCTGCAGAGAATCTCTCAGGGACAATCAGCTGAAAATATAAAGTGTCATCTTTCTGAACAACACGCAGGGGCAGAGAGAGAAGAACTCACATGTTGCCTCTGTAGTCCTTCTGCTGTAGGTGCGGCGTGCACGGTACCTGACCACCAGTTCTCCGCTCTCCATCATCGGCTCAAACGCCTCTCTATGATTCATACAGGGAGAAGACAAAACAGAGCAAAATGCAATGAGAGGTTTGTCCAGTACGTGCGTAAACACAGCTGGAAACATGGCATTTGATCATAATTCACAACAATGACTGTTGCTCTTTCACAACAGATGTTACTACTCTGTCCAAATTCTGCAGAATGCATGAAGAAGTGAGGCAACTAGGTCATGGAGCTGAGGATTCTGGTTTGGCACAGATATAGCGTCCCTCCCTTCCACCCACGAGGAGTGCTAATAGTCATACGCACCCAAAGCGTGTCTCCTTGCGCCGCAGCTTGGCCACGTAAACAGCCATGAGAACAGCTATGGATACGGCACCGGCAATGGCCATCACCACATACCACCAGTGCCAGGAAAAGGCCGGAGGGGAAGAGGGACCTGGGGGAGACACAGACGGATGACAGCTTAGCCAGGCGGCTCTTTTAGGGTTAAGACACAGAGTTAAGAGAAGCCGAGGTGACACAAGATTTGATTACGTTTAACAACAGATTTAAAATAAAGACGGATTAAAGTTAAACTCTTCAGACTATTTCTGCTTTATCAGAAAACAGTACACTTCTCTTTATTCCCTTTCCAAATGGCTTACATGTGTGTTCTGGACAAAATCTTAAACGGGAAGGAGAGACATTCCTTCACTATCAAACTGTGTTGTAATACCTTTTGTGAGAAAATAATGTTCTCTTTTTAATTACATATGTTGCCCAAGTCTACAAAGTGGCCTCAGCAAAGTCGTGTTGAGCAACATCTAAACATTTCTTCTAAAAATATTCTTCTTTTTTTTCCAATCTCAAAAACATTCACTTTGTCTTCAGTTGTTGTTTTCCAAACTCTCACGCTGACGTTAACTCCCAGCTCCACGCACTAACAACCTCCACCCACTGTTTTTCCACTTTTTCTCCCATTCACTCTCATCCTCCCCCAACTTTCCCCTGCTTCTTTTTATCTGCTGTTCTTTGTTGTTTGAATTGTCTGTCTGGCTCTATTAGACTAAGCAAACAGAGATGCTACACTGTTCCTGCCTGTTATAAATATTTATGATGCGTCTCCCCATTCCCCCCCCCCCCCCAAAACCCCCCTACACCCCTCTCTCTTCCCCTTTCCCGTCTCCCTGAGATCTTCTCTTCTCTTTTTTTCGCTTCCTTCTTGTTTTTTTGCTGAGATACACAGGAAGGAACTCTCAGGAACCCAGCGACCGAGAATAAGAAAGAGAAGTCTTACAGTGAAAAAAAAAAAAAAAACACCATGAGCTCACTTCTACTGTCACTGTGTCATTTTGTGCCACTCTGGGAGGTTACAGAGGAGCAAGTTTGCGGGTCTGAATGAGCAAAGCCAGTCATTACACTCACCTCGAAATTCCTCCATTTCTGTGGGAACCAAAAAAAAAAAGGAGAGTTCATGTCAATACACTGACTTTGAGGAGAAAACAACATAATTTGTTTGGTAAAATGATCTGCAGAGTTGACATGAAACATCAGAAAGTTTTATTTGCGAATTAATTACAGTCATTATAAAATGAATAAAGTCTTGGCAAAAGGTGTCTTAAATCATTCATGATTCAAAGTAAATTAACACACTGTGTATGACGTTGTCACTTACCGGGGGCAATAAGTGTCACAGTCTGTATGGGGGTCCAGGGTCCTTGCCCGGCCCCTGTGTAAGCGCACACTCGAAAGGACACATTGGACAGGGGGACAGACAGATTGATTGACAGCTCAGTGTCCAATCCAGCATCCACGACAAACTGTGAACAAAAGAAGCGTTTGTAGACGATGAGTATCAAAAGGAGGATTGTCTTTCAATCTGTCAGTTTTGCAGAGTTTCTGTGGGGTTCTTGTTGTTGTGTGTATTTGGGTAAATTGACTTGGGCTTGTATAGCACTCTTCTCGTCTTCTTACTCAAAGCATTTTTGCACCGCAGGACGCACCTACACATTCACACACTGATGGCAGAGGCTCCATCAATATTAACTAAACCCATTCATAAACATTCACACGCTGCAGGCGAAGCACATCAGGACACATCAGAAATGTGGCTGCAGGAGCTGAGGATCGACTCTACAACTGAGCGGCAGCCGGCCCTCTTTGTGTCTCAGACTAACCTGCGGGGCTGCAGGTGTGCTGTACTCCACCACGTAGCCCTGAAGTTCTCCATTCAGCTTCCCTGGAGGCTCCTCCCACACCATCAGCACCTCTGTCCCGTTGAGCACGGCGGTGACGTTAACAGGCGGGTTTTCTGGCACTGAAAAAAAAAAACACACAGCAGAACTTGAAATCATTCCACTCCTCATTCTCACTTCGATGAGATAGAGATGTAGCTGAGGGTGTGGCTGAATGTGTCCAAAGACTTTCAGTATGAATAAGGAGTAAGCAAGACTGCAACTGTGTGAGCCTGGTGGTCAGGGGCCAGTGGGCTGAGGGCTACCCAGGCGTGTGTTGTTTTGACAGCCTGAAGCCTGTAGGGTGTGGATAAGTACAACAGCTGGATGGAAGAAGATGTCAGGGAATTTGGAGAATTCAGCTTAATTAGGATAGAAAAGGCTAGCTGAGGGCACCGCGGGCGGAGGCGATCAACTGAGTTCAGAAGCCGGTGTTCCCTCAGTGTCTGCATGGTTGAATAGACTCAGATGGACACATGCTGAGGCCTGTGTCTCCCTCCTTCATGCTGTTCCCTCTTCTTCCGTCTATTCCTGTTTCTGCTTTATTTTCTCGTCTGCCTGTTTCTTTTCTGGCTCTCTGGAGCAGGGAGCAAAAAAAAAAAAAAAAAAAAAAAAAAAGGCTGCTGGCACCAGAAATACCCAGTGGAGAGAAAGCCTAGCTGAGTAACACACTAGAAATAGCGTGAAGAATTTGTGTATTTATGTTTGTGTGTTGTGTGTGTGTGTGTGTGTGTGTGTGTGTGTGTGTGTGTGTGTGTGTGTGTGTGTGTGTGTGTGTGTGTGTGTGTGTGTGTGAAATCCAGGACCCTTTAACAAGGAGACAACATTGCTTCTTTCCTTTGTTGAAATTAGAGTTAGAGCTTTCTTTGTCTTTGCTTCTCAATCCCTCAGCAGTCCTACAAATCACACAAGCTAACTGGACACCTACACACACACCACACACACACACACACACACACACACACACACACACACACACACACACACACACACACACACACACAGTCACTAAGAGTTTGGGAAACATGGCCCAGCCTACGGATGATGTTATCAGGAAGCATTTGGCGGGTGATTGTTTCCACATGCGAGCCCCCTGCTCTGCCTGCCAGCGGCAGCAAAAACAACCTCGAAGTCAAGTTCGTTCCAGGAGTCGGTCTCCACCTATGATCAGTCATCTGTTGGTCTCTCTCTCTCTCTCTCTCTCTGCCTCCTTCTCCACTGCTTTGTGTCCACTCCCTTTTCTCTCCTTCACTCCTCTTCATTCTCTCGCTCCCTGTTTCCCATCCAACATGGTTCCATCTCATTCTTTCCAACTTTTCTTCTCCCTCACCGCCCTCTCTGTGGCAATGCCTCTCTCTTTTTCTGTCACTGAGCAATGACTCGAAGAAAAGAGAGATGTTGTTTGTTGATGTAAAAATGTGTGGAGGAGGAGGAGGGAAAACAGTTTTACTGGAAGAAAACTGTTGCAAACATTCAGTAGTTAAAAAAGAAATTCAGAAAAGAAGGTGTTTGCTGATCACTCTTTCTGAAACTGCAGAGAGAAAAAACAAATCCCCATACTGTTCTCATGAAAGCAGCCAAAGCTTGGCAAGATGCTGAGAACCAAACATGTTTAAGACACAATTAGTTCACAACAGCAGAGATTAACATCTGGATACACAGCAAACTACTGTTTCATATCCCGCTGTGTGCTGCTATAGAGGAATATGGTGTCATATGGCAACGTTTGACAGCTAAACCATTCTGCGGAGGCAGGGCTGTAGCTCTTTCTGAACACTTCATCTCTTCCTCTCGGTACAGTTAGCCTCCATGTGGGTCCACATGTGGATGGAAAAGGGTCATCGTTAAGCCAAAAAAATGACTCATGACCCCTGGATTTAGAGTCCAAACAAAAAAACAAACTCTGCACTACACGGGAAACCATTCTCGGATCAGTCCGAGCACATTTTGTGTCATCAAAAATGTTTTTTAAAGGACATTCACCTCATTCAGATTTTCGAGCACATTAAGAATTTTAATGCTTTGCTGGTAGTTGTATTAAGCAGGATTAAATGTGACGTGTGTGTTGAGCCATTTTACCATGACTCATTTCCATTAGGGTTATGTTCCTTAACTCAGGATTCATTGTAGCGTCACTTCAAGAATTGTGACTTACAGTAAGTGTGGAGGGAACCAGGACTCCCTTTGTTGAATTTGCATTGAGTAAAAACACAAATGCAAAAAGTGATGCATTACAGGAGTCAGAGTTTAGAAAATCGATACAGTACGTAAAGCAGAATCTTATTGCAGCTTTAGGATTAGAAGGGCAACATGGGTCGCCTTGCTTCCTCTCCCACCAAACAACCCCCCCCCCTTCTGTTTCCTCTTCCCCCCGGGAAAATAGTGGGCTTTGGGAAAATAGCAAAATGAGTGTTTTCTCAAAGCGCCCCCTTCCTTGTTTCCCTGCTCTTCACTCCATTCCTTTCGTAGTCAAACCATTAACCCCATTTTTTTGTCTTTCCCACAGTGCCTTGCTGTGTGCTCTGGAAAGAGAAAATCACAGGTCATCAGGGGTCAAGACAGCGGGGGAAATACAAGATGAAGGAGTGAAGTTGAAAGAGTGGCCTCTGACAAAAAAAAAAAAAGACTTGTTCAGTTTGTTCGATGCAGGAAATAAATTCCACAGTTCATAACATCTGAGGTAGGAAAAGACGAGTGCAACATCGTGCAAGTTAGACCAGGCCCAGAGGGGAAATGAAGGATGTAAAACAAATCTGAACTGGTGAGGGGAAAATCTATATGAAGTGGAAAAAAATGAGACAGAGGAGCAGCAAACAAGGATGTTTCTGCAGCGATGACAGCACACATCTGCACATTTCATAAACCAGAAACAAGCAGCAAAACAAAAAAAACAAGAAACAAACAAACATGCTCAACAACAGAGCTTTATGGGAAGATATGGAAACTATGACTGAGCTGCAAGCAGACTACCTTCCCACTTTACTCTCCCTTTCTTTGACCTTAAATACCTCCCGAACTATCTTTGACCAGCAGCTAAATCTTATCTTGTTTTCCTTTCATCCTCTGACTGGAACAAGTGCAAAGAGAGCAGCTGGTGCAGGAATGAAGCAGTCACTTCCAAATGGAAACAAATCACAGAACTCTCTCCAGTGAAACAAGACAATCCTTTCTTTTCTTTAACAAAGAACTGAAACTTCCTGATCGAACCTGATCTCAAAACTTTTTCTTTAAGACAGGCATTTTTTAAAAAGTGCTACTTCTCTCTTTTTGTATTCATGAGAAATGTTACATTGAAGTGTTTTACGCAGCTTCAGCTATGGAAAGCCCCCATCATCCCTCTAGTGGCATATCTCCTCTACACTGTTTCCATTTCTATTCATCCGGGGAGAGAGACAGCATGAGCTGGCATGGAAAATCCCACCTCAGGTTAAACTCAAACAACGAGCAGCCCAGAATTACAGCTTGGACAGAGTGCAAGGATCCTAACTGAAGCCTTTCAGGACGTTCCCCCTCCCTCCTCCTCCACCTGTCTCCGTCTCCTCCTCCTCTGTCCCTTCACTACCAGTCAACCGTCTACCTCATTAGTTTACATTTGAAACTGGGCTGCTGGTGGTGGTGGTGGTGGTGGTGGTGGTGGTGGTACAGTAGCTCGTGTCTGCTACTCTTCATAAACACAGACTAAGTAAAGGGGCACAGTAAGGAATATTATGACTAACAGTGCACAGTAACATGTTTAGCTGACTCCTTCTTATCATAACATATGTCTCCAATATGGCCTGACTCACTTGGAAAGCTAAAAAAAAAAAAAAAAAAAGAGTCTTGAGGCAAAAATGCGTTTAAAGAGCCATTAACTTCCCTGATAACTAAGGCAAATTGCCTTCTTTCATTAAGCTGTCAAATAGTCAGCATGAATGAGACTACTGTGACCCAGAGGTCATGGAAGGTGACTTTTTAGAGCCTATGGCAGCTTGAGGCAAGTCAGACAACAATCAAGCATAAGGGATCATTAGAAAATAGCAGCAGTACAACTCTTAATCCATTTATCGACGCTTAGTTAAATCCTGGTTATATATATTCCCATTCTTAGTTTTGAATTTTTAGTGCTTCTTTACTTTGTATTTAATATTATTTTGTGTTTAAATTTGCTAATATTGTGTTTTTTGTTAATATTGTGTGTTTGGACAACCTGCTGCTGTAACGCCACAGTTTCCCAGTTTGGGATCAATAAAGTAATTCTGTTCTATTCTATTCTAAAGGTAATCGGTAGAAAGAAACTTGAATAATACTTGATTGGCATCTACAAAATCCTGGAACAAAAAATACTAACAATTAAGTTAGAGTCACATCTTGGAAAGCCTTCATAAAAGTTAGACCGAGAACAAAAAGGTCTCGTCTAAGCTGTTAGAAAAACACTCACACAGCTCTGAACGAGACTTTAAATGTTCAACCTGCAATCAGGCAGCTGAACGACCTGCAATTCACCGGGGAAAGACTTAAGAAAAAGACTAAATTCCCATCGTAAAACCTGGTTATTTATGAGCTAATAGTCCTCGTAACAGACCAAAATCCCTGAAAGTAATGGCTGAAGCCTGCTAGTTGCTACATCTGTCTTATACTGGTTAGAGTCCACAGCAAGAGAGTAGGAGGAGACTTGGACTTCAGCCTTATTCAGTATCCCAACAACACAGCCTTGACCTCGACTCACTTAAGAGGAGGTGATCCCATGCACACGCTCACAAAAGACATCCAGGCTGAAAACAAACATCTCCTCACTTGGAAGGCTTACCTCCTTCTTTGGTGCGTAGCTCCACCCAGGACGACCAGTCAGACGGGCCCTGGCTGCTGTGACAGGCCACCCTGACGGAGTAGAGGCTGTGTGGCTCCAGATCCCCGATCAGGTGTGTGGCTGGTGGGATGTTCACATTCTGGTTGTGGATCATCTTATCGGGGCCTGATGTGAAGGGCCCTCCCGAATGTTTGGCCTGGAATAATCAGATGACAATCTTAATGTAGCTTCAGCCTCCATCCTCCTTCATAATCATTTTCATACTGTGACCTATTTGTCAGTTCTATTGGACTGCAGGAGCTTTTCAAACTTTAAACCATTTGAAAATTATGTATGATTATCGAAGTTTAATGTCTCATGACACACATGTTAAGGAGAGATTCTTGCATAATTGTCTCTGTATGCATGGTATCAAACCGCAGTGGATATGAAGTCTGGTGGAAGAAAAGATAGGAGGTTGGAGTTGGTACAGTAATTCTGAAGGGGGATGGTCATTAAGTGATAATTGCCATAAATGGTGCAAAAACTGCTTCACTGCTGTTTTAAAACACGACCCCGGCTTATAAAAAGGTGCACTGAAAGCAGAACCGATCAAAGAAAATCACAGTCAGAATCCTGCTGCCTCTGCAAACTCTCTGTGGTAAACACATTTATGAGGAACACAGGCCAGGAAAAATCCTTTACTGCAGCATCTTAAAAACCACATTAAAGTTACCGCTCTGGACTATTGTTCTCTGCTTCTTTGTTCATAATCGAGCAGCTCCTGCAGGCTACAGGCTGCACACTTCTTTATAGAACGAGTTTAAAACGTCTAAATAAAAAAAAAAGAAATGAGCAGGCACACAAACAGATCAGATGTGCGAGAGCAGCAGGTGCTTTGACAATGACTTTTTGAAACAACATGAGTATTCAGAGTTAAGAAGCCGGGTGAGCGATGGCGTGAGCTCGTGGTCTGATCCAAAAGGAATATGAAGTCGTGTGAACGAGCGTCTGTGTGTGAGAGAGAGAGAATGAAAACCATGCCTGACTCGATGAATCACCATCCAGCCTGTAAACAACTGTGTTCTATCTAATTGTACAGCTCAGCCCTGAGTCACACTTCAGACTACATTCCCCTTGTATGGCTCAGGCCTACAATACCTGCTGTCACTGCCTTTTCCTGTTTTCTTTGACTGACTTTCTCCTCAACTTTTCTTCCTTCCTTTGTTGTCTTCATTTGTGACTCTTTCTGCTTTTCATTCTTTCTTTTGTTCAACTTATTTTCTTTCTTTGTGCCGTACATTCATATCTCTCTGCTCCCCCCACACACTACGCTTTTTTCATGTTTCTCTCTTCACCACACAATGAGCCGTTAAATTCAGATTTTTGCCCCATTCTCCTGAAGCCGGCCCCTCGCCTTGTTCCCCATGAGGGTGGAGAGGGGGAACTGAGGGGAGGGGTGCAAGGCAAGAACAGCGAGGGGTACGAAGGGCAGCTTTATTAGAACCAGACGTTTAGGGGTGTTGCTGCACTGCTCCCTTCTCCAGGAGAAAATGTACCGTCTCTTTGCTCAGAGCTGTAGTGGCTAAAGAGCGCCATAGTGGCAGAGAGACACTGACAGAGAGAGAGAGAGGGAGGGAGTGGTGCTACACAAGATTAGTCCAGGAGGCCACTTTCCCAGAGTGAAACCTGATCCACTGGTACATTAATAAAACAGGGAGGGTAGAGGATGAGTTAAAAGAAGAAAAGAAAAGCAAGCTCTCTTTTCTTTTTAAACTAAACTTGCAAGAGGAAAAGCTCACAGTCCCCTAAAAACCAGGGAGAGTGATGCATTTGTTTAACAGGCAGCTCAAACAGTTGCAGAGATTATATTCTATCACATGTTGCCTCACCTGAACAGAGCAACGGATTATCGGGTAGTCGCCTCCAAAACCAGGCTGCCATGATAAGCGGAGGCTGGTCGAGGTGATCTCTTCAGCTCTCACATTCTGAGGCCTCGATGGAAGAACTAGACAAAGAAAGATACAAAAACACACCCAACATAAAGATAAAACAGTACATAATCATGCTTTTAAGAAACCCTAAAATGATGATATGAGGGATATTTACCAGTGATGGTTCCCGATCCAGAGGTGGCCACCCCTTTGCGGTTATGGGCCTCACAAGAAAAGGTGCTGGTCCTGTTCAAACCTGGAACGGAAACAACACAAGAGTGTGAGGCAGGAACATTCAGCGTATTACTGAAACCAAGAATGCGTGCTCTGCATGCTGAGTTGCATTTAATGTTGGTGTGAGAAAGTTCAAACTGAAGTGAGAATAGTGTGAGGATAATGGTTTCCATAAGGTAAAGCTATCTCTCTTCCATCAGTATTAAGATGAATATTATGTATATGACGTTTTTGAGTTTGTATTCGCTTGTCGACAGTGGCTGACTCAGGCTGTGGAGCAGGGTTGAAAAAAAAAAAAAGACGGACACCAGGTGCATCGCAAAGGGGCGGCAGCATGCACTTAATAACTTTTTCTTCACTGAAAGGGCCCTTCAGAGGGTATTCGGTCATATTGCATACAGTACAAAGGCCCTTTAGTCGGTTTTCTCTATCGGTCTATGATCAGAGACACAACTATAAACATAACAGTTTAGACAGGTGATTTCTTGAGGTCAGTTAGAAAACAAGACTACTATATTTGGAGCATTGCAAACCTCCTTTAACACCAATTTGTGATTTAACCCTGATCCATAAATGTTTCCAAGGTTTTGATAAACTTTTGTTGATTCATGCAGAAGTCAAAGATATAACAACCCATACAGTTGGCACATACAGTAACATACAGTTTCAATAGTGTTGCAAAGTTTATTTTTGAATAAACACCTTAAGAGTGTTAAAACAGCTTCATGTCTAGTTGTCTTTGGACTTGCAGATCCCTTCCAGGGTGACAACTTTTTTAAACACATTTGCAAAAAAGTCACAGCTTAAAACTTAGCAGTACATTAGTAAAAGTTGGCACATTGTGAAACTTAAGTATCTCCCTCCCTTATAGTCGGACATTCTGCGATTGAGGTTCTTTATAAGAAGAAACTTATCGACGGTGAATATTTTCTATGGTGTAGTCCTGAGAACAAAGAAGCCTCATGTTGAGGACCAGGTGAAAAAAAGCAGAACTGCTGCCCACAAGAGGCTGGGGCTCCTCTGAAGGGGGCAAAACACTGTGACACACACCGACAGTCAACAAAGAATGAGTCCTCTCACACAGTGACTCAGAGCGTGCTCACACATGCTCGAGTCATCCCCACAACACAACACGGGCTAAAAAACGCACACACTGACACATGTGACATTCGGGGTTTTATCCCTCTTATCTAACACTCTAACATTGTCAATCAGCCGCAAACGGACATTTGCACAGCATTACGCAGTGTTGCTCTGTGCCGACGGCACCATGCCTCCATTGTGCTGCGGCCGGAAAAAGAACAGGGGGTACGATCCTCACAGGGTGAAGTGAGGGATTGTGAGAGAGGAAAAGGGAGGGAGGGCTGAGGGATGACCGCTGCCTGTGAGGGTGAATTAACTGCTCATCAGGCCATCTCTAAAGTTGCGCCATTAACACTTGTGTCTCTTTACTTCCCCACCGGCTGACCGCAGCACAACATCCCCTGATCAGCTGAAAAAGTCAGAATTAGTCACCAGAAAGAACAAATAAGCATCACAGCATTGGCCAACAGTGCTGATGTCAGCTGGGATGAGTTTAGTACTTCCTTTCCTTGGCTGATATGTGAACTCTAATCAGAAAGTATTAGGAGATACTGGGCTTTTCATATTTTGATTGCAACTCTGCCATATTGGATTTAATAGTTTGTCAATTATCAATACTTCTAATATCTTCATGAATTGTTTAAGAACTATTTCCCATCCTTATCTAACATAGATGACATCAGTTCATGTTTTTTGTCTGACCTACAATTTAAAATGTTAAGATATTCCATTTCTAAATATTGAGGACTGAGTTTGGACAACTTAATGTTTTAGCATTTTTTTCCTGATGGACTTTGATGAATCTGAAAAGAAGCAATGACAAGGTTGAAGTGCTGACTTTCATCTTCTGAAGTATCTGAGGGAGTTTTCGCCAATATTTTGTGAACCTGTTAGGACCTGTGGATCTTTGGTGGTCAAATGTTTAATCAGTACATGGGGAATGTATTCCAAAATAATTTGTAGTTCACTGGTCAAGACAGTAATCTAACATTATGAGAATGTTATTCAAATGCTGCACATTTACTAAGATTTCAGACTGGCTACAGAGTCCTTATATAGATTTACATGATCACTGCGATCAACAATTTACATCCTAAATATTTGCCCTGTAACTCATAAACTAAGCATGCAAAGAGCTTCAGTTTCTACACTGTTCACCACATGTGGAGGGAAACTTTGTCTTAACTGCGAGCCACTGCTCTGCTCTGGACTTCTTCATGGTTGGCATGTACTTCATGCCATTTCCCTTTATGGGCCTATTGAAAGAGTATTTGTGTTTTTCCTGGTTGTGGACCGGTCTGCCAAGGCAGCTGTCCATTCCACAGATGTGAGTGTAGGTTACCGTCAAACTGGCCCCGGTCAGCACCAGTCAGCCTGCTCCGATGAGTCAAACCAGAACCTTCACCAACCACTGCCGCCTGCTCCTCCCTCCTTCCGTCTGACTCAGCCTGTCCTCCTACCACTGGAGTTAACACGGAGCAGCTAACTGGCAGGCAGCTGTGGTTGCATTAAAGCAGCAACAGAAGCCTTTTTCTCTTTATTTCTTTTATCTCCCTTATCCTCTGCCCGTCTATTTTACTTCCCCCCTCGAGTCCCTCTTTTGCCTGCTGCTCTTTCCCTTTACCCATCAACCACCAGGCAAAGTCCTCAATGGATCCACTGGCACTGTGCCAGGCAGCCAGCTCTCAGGGGAGCGTGGTCATTTGGCGGTTTTGTTTAATCCATAGAGAGGGGACATGAAAGCCTTTTAAACTAAAGATGATAGACGCTGTGAGGCTTTTGAAGCAGTACATTCTAAACAGTCTAAATAGGTTAAATGAAACCACTGGTTGTGTATCTGCCATGTTTAAAGTCATTAATAGGTTGCTATTACAGTCCACACGTTTCAGAGGAAGTGCTAAATTAATTTTTCCTTGAATTAGTTGAGAAGTAATCATCAGTAATTCTAACGGTTCAAGTCTTTATCGAACAAAAAGGATGTTTATTTTCTGGTTTTTGCTTGCTTTTCAACATATCATTTTGAGAATTTCCAATAAGCAGTGGGCGTTAAGAACTACAGCCTATGTCTTGATCACTTAACATCGGGCACTATCAGAGTCAGGGCCCTTAAGGAGTTGATTGAGGCTGTGTGTTTTCATGGTTTTGACTAAGCTGTGTACATGGGGCTTAAGCCTGCTGGAGTAATAAAGAGTGAAAGATGATACCTGTGAGGTTGAGTGTTGACGGCGACAGGGCCACCGGGTCTGTCAGAGAGTTGAGAGGAGCTCCGTCCTGCAGCCAGATGACCCTGACTGGCTCTGGAGGTCCATGGGCCACACAGCTCAGGCTCAAGGAGAGGTTGGCTACCACAGATGTGTGCTGGGGTTCCACCGAGAAATGAGGAAGGCCTGGGGAAGAATTAGCTGAATCAGGGGTCTCAACTTAATCCAAATAAAAAGCGTAGCTCTCAAGAGGAGACCTGCTTATTTATGTAGCTGTGGCTGAAGAGGAACTCACCCTCCAGCTGGATTCCCCCCTCCTCGGACAGAGTCTGCTGGCTTTCTGATAAAACGGCACATTGATAGGACCCCATGTCGGAAAGCTGGACCTTTTCAATTCTGTTTGGTGTATGAAAGTACATGATTAGACAGGTTTAATAAAGATCAGCGATGAAAAAATAACACTGATTAAAAAAGGGATACAGAGGCAGAAAGATGCATAAACTCTAATTACTTTACTTTGTTCTCTTCCAATAATACCAGGATAAAATATGAAAAGCTACAGAAAGAGAGGCATGTAGGGTTATTGATTAAGTTATAATATATCTTGATGACTGAATTTCAAAATTCCCCCGAGTGTCTGAAAGTGAACACAATTTGTTTTTTGTGTGATGGGGACAGCACATTACTAAACACCAGTAAAATACACAGGATGTAAACACACTGGAGATGACGATAATGCTGATTAACAGGCAGGTACATAGTGATGTCATCCAGCAACAGTACAGGTTAAACTAGGTGGAGGAACAGGAATTGAAGACAATCACCACAGATGCATGATTGACATTTTTAGGTCAGGTGTGGCTGTCTCACAACTCTTCAACCTTTAAAGTGAAATCTCCTGCAGTGACAGCAGCTAACACATACGAGAGAAAAAGCCCCACCCACCTGAGCGTGCTCATTATCGTCCAACTGTTGATGTCGGTGGGGACTTGGATCTGGTTGGTGTCAGCGTATTGGAGAGGCACGCCGTCTCTTAGCCAGAGCACATCGGGAGGGTCCTCTTCTTCGCCCCCTGAACCTTTCAGGGTGCAGTGCATTGTCACAGGTTTTCCCAGCGAGGAGATGATGGTAGTGGGACTCCGCTCGAACTCCAATTCTTTGATTGAGAGAGTGAAGAAGCAGGATTGGGGGTTTGTTTTAACTCTCGGTGGTTAAATATACACTTAAACAACATGGTAAAACCTTTCACATCTTGTAGAGTGGGAAGTTGGTGAATTACTCAATTAGTGAATTAGAGATTGCCAAATGTCAAACTGTTGCTGGTTTCAGCTTCTGAACTGAATTTATGATTTTCTAAAGAATTGTTCAGAAAAACTATTTTAACGTTCAGATTAATCAATAATAAATAAAACTGTTAGTTGCAGACATAAAGCATTGGGTTATTTAAAGGGATTCCTGTAAACATAGTCGATGACGTGAGTTGAAGGCGGTCACCATATACAGAAGTCCCATAGTTCAAATTTACCATGAAATTGTTCATTCACTTCAAAAGATTCAAATAATATTCAATCAATGTGGTAAAACCGGTAAAACACAGAAAAGCAGCAACTCTTGACATATGAGAAGCTGGAAAAAGCAAATGTTTGAATGACCGGCTTAACCAGCTCTATGAGTGATTACCACAATTGTTGTTGACTTTTCAATTAATCAAAAAATCTCCCCTCCACTAAACTCTTCCTGAGGCTGTTTGCTCCCTCTGATAAACGCTGATAACAGCAGGTGAACACTGTGGAGTTCATCCACCACCACACTGTCTTTTGAACGAGTCGGGTTATCTGGTGTCCCTGACAGACAGACAGGCTGACCTGAGAAGGACAGAGCTGATACACAGACAAAAGGATCCTTGTTAGCCCGACGGCTGCTCCTGCAGCTCCGACAGTGTCAGAGCACAGAGAGCTCAACACAAACACTTTAAAATACTCAGGATTTCTCTCAAACATCAATGATAGTAGGCCTGCAGGTCGTCCACCAAAGACGTCTGGGTTTCTGTTCAACATCAAGAAAATGACTCAGAAAGGGTCATCATAAATATGAGGAGGACGGTTCTGCTTTTTCTTACTGACATTACTTCAAGAAATGAGAAGTATTTCTGATAATGTCGAAGGTCGACCATGCATGCTGTTTCAAAGATATTTTTAAAAATATCTGTCAGATACAAATTTGGCAAGGGCACATAACTCTTTGCACACATTACATTCAAGGTAAGCATCTTAAGTGCAAACAAAGACAAGGAAGGCATGAGCGCTACTTGTCTCCATAAAACAGATAAAAGACAAAAGCTGTGTGCACACTTGGTTTGTGATTTGCTAACTTGGCTTGTGTTTCTTGAAATCTCAGCAGGAATAAATCACGCTTGTTTCATTGAGTGATGATGCCTATAAAGATTTTCTCAAGCTTGTCAACCCGCCCTCCTAGTCTGTTTCATGGCCGACCTTAAAACCTCTAACCCATGCACTGTGACCCCAGGGAACTCCATTGCCAACCCATCTCATGAAAAACAGCACACATCATTCAGCTTGTGAAAACCGACCTGTAGTGTAAATAGCAAACTTTGTCAGAACTTTTTTCTACTCATATGGAAAAAAACACACCCTTGATCCTGTAATCCACACACACACAAACACAAACCAGCATTCTCAAAGCTGGCTCTGGGAGTGTGCAATAAATGAAGAGGCCCGCTGTGTCTGCTTCACCGCCTCACTGTCTCTGTGTGCTTTTTGGCGTAAAAAGTCATTCCTCCCTTTATTTTTAAGCTTGGCTGAGCTCTTTCAAGAATCTGCATGACCCTGACTTTGTTTTTTGTTTTTCCAGTGCCTTATTGAGCAAAAACAGCCCTACTTTCTGCCTCCGTCTCTTCGGCATGCATTCACATGATAATAACCTTGTAAACCTTTTAATGTAGAGGTAGACAGAGAGGGCAGGCTGTAGTTAACTCTGTGTGTGTTTATGTGTGTGTGGCCTGTCTCCAGTGATTCATTTGTGCTTTAATACTCCATCTCCTCCCTTTTGTCTCCTGGATTCCCTTCGAGGTTCCACACTTTTTTTTAAAATCTTTTTTGTTATCTGCCTCCTTCCCACCCCATCTCTACTCCTACTCTCCCTTATAGAAAAAAAAGCTCAGATGTTAAAAGTCAGTGGATGTGCACATACCAAAAATACCAGACACAGTTCAAGCATTTATCCTCGTCTCACTCCCTCCTTTATCTTTCTGGCTTCTTAACGCTACGTAATTCAGCCTCTCCATTCACTGCCGCGCCTTTGCCCTTTTTCCCATTTAGCCTCCTTTTCATGCCATTCTTCGGATTCATCGCTACACATTTTGCCACCTCCCCTCCCAACTCTTTCCCCGTCCACTCTTGCCCCCGTACCCCATCCATCAACTCACTGCTTGAGTCTGACTCAGACCAACTCACTGACTCACAAACCAAAGCATTTCCTCCCCCCCGCTCCCGAGCCCCTCCTCATCCCTCATCCCTGGGCCACAGCCATTCCTACATCCAAATAGGAACTGAGGCAAAAAGGAAAAATTCTCTTTGAAACCACCAGTCTTGAGCTTATAAATCACAGCTGTGCCTCGTATAAATCTCTGTCCCTCCTGGTCATGGATCTGCAGAGGGCAGAGCTCCCAGAGAGACGCTGTGACCATGATGGTCAAAACACATGAGCTGACAGGTGGAGGCCCCTGCAGGGACCCCAGGTTTTCATCCTCTGGTTGAACTGATGATGGATCACAACAGTAACAGTAAAGATTTATGCCAGAACAGAAAAGTGCTTCAAAATGATGTTTTGCAGGATTTCAGGGACGTGTGGTCCTGATATGAAATTACCTGACATGTACAACAAATTTCAACATAGACTATTATCTCTGCATTACTCTATGTTCTTCTGAATTCTCTACCTTCCTTGCAGGATTTATTTAACCTCTTGCCCTCTCCCATGCCTGGAATACATCTCTCGAAATACCACACTATTCCGGAAATGCCACGACTGGTGGGAATCCCTGTCTGGATACCTTGTTTGGACGAGTTCCCAGGAAGAGTGTACATTTTGCAGAGAGATGCATACTGCAGCTGATCTCGAACATGACCCTTCAGCAGTTTAATGCCAGTCAACAAAAACAGCTCCTCATAACAAAGTCTGCTCCATCACCCCTTTACCTGCTGTCACTGCCCAAATATCATGCCTGACTGAACCAATACACATGTTTTTTTTTTTAAGGGGGGGAGGTTATTTTAGTCATTTACTTTGCTTAAGAAAGCTGTTTTACGAGTGTACAGATTTCCTTCATGTTGGCCAGATGTTGAACACACTTGCAGCTGTGGTTGCCAACCCAAAACAAATTGATTAAATGAGTTCGACGCAGAGGGCTGGCTGGGCTAATTGCTCATTAGGAAGTTTCCCCCTCACACTTAATTTTTTACAAACAACAGCAATTGGATAAAACGCAGTTGCCTTACCTGTCAAAGTCCCAGCAGTGACTGGCCTCCATGCGGATAAAACGACGATGAGGGTAAAAAAAGACCACTTAAACCGGCTCATGGTTGTAGTTGAAAAGCTACAATCCCTGGAAAAAACGAGAGCAGTCATCTTGGAAACATCGGCGGGCTCCATCACCGCATCTCAGCAGCTCATAGATCCTTGTGGTTGTGCGCTGAAAAAAGTTTTGCTGCGAGTAGAAACGTGATCATCCACCGACGTGACCAAAGCAAACCGGTCCGTGTCGTTTCAGTTCCCTTTTAAAAAGAACAGACTTCTTAAAAAAAAAAAAAGTCTCCTCTCGTAAGAACGTCTTCTTGCTTTCCCCCCTTGTGTTGTTGTTTTGGTTGATCCCACCACCGTCGCGTAAAATCCAGCGAAATCAAAGTCAGGCAAAAAAAGCGCACCGCAAAAAGCGCTGTAGGTAGAAGTTTCTTCCACTGACTTACTCAAAGGCATCAATATCCCAACTATTTCCAGCGACACTGGGAAGATTTTAAAACCAGTGCTTCATGCAGTTTGTCGTGCAAAGTCTCTCCTGATCACCGGTTCCCCCAGACTCCCTCAGACATTCCCCCTGGTTGGTTCTTTTCCGTCTCCCCCTTCAAACAGGATTCAAATTCCTCAACTCAAGTTCTTTCCACCCTCCTCCTCCTCCCCCTCCTTGCCCTCCTCCCGACTCTCCCTCCTTTTCTCAGAGGATGTGAGAAACCCTGCGGCATGCTGATTGTCTGCGCACAATCACCCATTCGCTTTTTAATTACACGCAGATCCCCAGAGGTTGTAAATAGCACCGTAAATCAGCCGTTTCCCGCTTCAGACAAAGTAGCTAAATGTGTGACAGTCTGCAGAAAACACAGACCTGATACACTGCTGCAGATAAACAACATGATAGATAAGATTGGTCTGAGCAGAGTACAATTAGTCTTCTTCCTCATTGAATAAACAAGAGATAATGACATTTGTGCATTAACTACCTTTACTTTATTTTATTTTATCTTGCCATTCTCTGCACATACTGTCTCAATTCCCTGCATAATTAACTTCATCATTCATTTTGTAGTTGTATATACCCCCTATTTTTATTGATCTTATCTAATCTATTCTGTTTAATGTGTATTTTGTATTTTGACCTTACTTGTCTGTGCTGCTGCAACGCCCGAATTTCCCCTCTGGTGATCAATAAAGTATTATCCTATCCTTATTTATTAAAAATACTTAATTATAATGACTAAGTTTTCTCAGTTTACATTGATCTCAATATTTGCTCATCTTATTTGTCTTTACAGGGGTGAATCTAAGGACCATTAACGTGTGCTTGTTTGATTTAACTTGCATATCTGTATGCTAATATTTAGGTTCTTTCATGCTGTCAGGATACTTTGCATAATTATAAGAATAAACACACATTAACAATTAATATCTACTCCTAATGGTCATATAAAACAAAAGATTATGTGTGCCTTAAATTATTTGGTTAAACATTAAAAACTGTCCAACTCCATGCATTAAAACATTGACCTATAGCCTACATAACATAATTGAAAAGTTTTAATTTGATTAACTTTCTGCAAAGTTCAAAATATTTTAACTTTTGTTTATAGCCAGATAAATGATGTGCTGGTGTTAGCCTGTGGATGGAGGCTGCAGTAGAAAAATGTGATAAAGTAATAGTAGTAGTAATAATAATAATAATAATAATAATAATAACTTTATTTATATAGCACCTTTTTAAAAACACAGGTTTACAAAGTGCTTTGACAAACAACAAAAACAAAAACAAACTAAACCAAACACAGAAGAACATAAACAACAGCAAGAACATAACAAATACAAAATACTCAAAATAATTAAATACAATTCAACAGAAACAAACCCAAAGTGCACGATACTATTTATAATATTTCAGACTACTTGGTTTGTATCCACCCCACATAGATCACAGCATCAGCATGTCTGGGAATTTGTTTGCATTTTACCGTTTCAGCCCAAACAGAGACAAGCATCATGGTCAGCTGTAGCCTAAATAAATGCTGCTGTCCCTGATTCCCATCAGCTGTGCAGCAGGGCTTATTGTGTTCTTGTTCACTGTCATGTCTGAGGTGACTGTGTGTGTTTGGCCAGAGGTGATGCTGGTGATCACTGGGAGAAAGTCTTGCAGAGTTCACACATAGACTTCTACTATTCATGAATAATTGATTAGCTGTGTAGATTCCTGTTTTTTTTCCCTGTTCCCATGAAAATGAAGGGAGGTGCTGGGACTCAGGTTGCGAAGACCTCGGTCCCTCTGGCCCTTTAAGAGTGTCTCTCTGGACAGTCTTGTGTTCCCAGGGTCTTTAATGGAGACAGAGAGGGACTGAGAAAGACCCCATTGTATATGCTCTCTTTTCAATGGGAGCTTGAGCAATGGTGCTCTCACTGCTCCCAGATAGAAGCACAGAGAGAGAAGCAGGGGAGGGAGGGAAGAGGGTCACCAAGGGGGTCCTGTACAAGAAAGAGGGGTGTTACTCAAAAACACAAAGTTTTGGGGCTGGATGGGCCTGGCAGGAGTGAATGTTTGGGTTTTGTGGGGGATGGGCATCAGCTTCTCAGAACTGTTTAGGTTTAAGCCACACCAAAAAATCCAGCAAACCTGACTCACCGAACACCAAGACTTAAAGACTTAAGGATTTTAACATGAAGTGGATTAAGAGTTGAAAGCACATGTTTCCAGTTATGAAACCACCAAAACAAGTCATATGGACTCAAGTTATTATGTTCTTTAACAATGGCTGATAGTTAGTCTCCACTGCCTGTTAAACAAACAACCGGCTAGTTGACCTGACACCAGGGTTCCTGCTGGCTGCAAGACATGGGAAAGACCTTCCTGCTGCTCTCCCAGCTTCACTGCTGGATGCTAACAAACTGCTAACCTCTTTCTAGTATTCCTCTTCATCCTCTTAGCCAGACAAACTGCTTCCTCCAACCTGTTGATGCATCCAAGTACTACAAAGACATGGGAGTTCTGCGAGTTTAAAAAAGCCTCTTCTGCCTCCTGCTGGTGGCAAAAGCAAAGACCTCAAACAGCACAAAAAAACAAATACTCCTTGTAAGAAATAAAAGTAATACACACATTTTGGATGTGATGTCAGGTTATATTATAACCACCTAATTTGTGCTGTAAATTGTAGTAAAATGCATATAAATGTGTATGAATACTTTAGACTCTTGTACATTAAAAAACAGGTTATCTCCTTTTCAGAACCAGAACCAGAATAGGTTTTTCAACTTTATTGTGCATCCTCTCAGTGTTTATAATTGTAAAAATAAACATGAGGCAGGTTAAATAAATGGGCATCAAGCTGGATAAGGTACCATAAAGATTTAATCACTATTAGTGGGTTTTGAAATCCATTTAAAAACAACGTGCGCTCATATGGGCACGAGTTATTTCTTCCAGAAAATATCTGCTGAAGTTTAGATGAAGCTGATATGGCTTTGTCTAATTTAGACAAACACACCGGATAACTAAAAAAAAGGAAGATGCTCTTAAAATGTCTGTGCTTCTACAGCTTAACAAGGGGAACATGATGGAGGGACTCTGTAGGTTTTAGCAGGCCCAGTGACTTTTAAACAACAAAAAAACAAGTGTTACCACTGCTGAAAAACAAAGTCCATTTACGTTGAATAGGTTAGATTAGACAAGTCTTTTTGCTCACACTTAAAGAGTTCTGTAAATCCACAGATGCTTTCTGAGGTGGCTTTGATTTGATGCAAGACTTGATAGTTGTGTAACTTTTTTGCGTGCATTTATTTGTTAAAAACAAATCCCACATTTTCACATTAATTTGGAGGTTTTTGCAGACTTCTTGTAAAAGCACATTCTGATACACTTACTCAAGTGTTGTCGGTAATATCGTCTGAAAGCAGAAACAACTGCATTCATGAAACAATTTTTCAACATGAGGGTAGATCATTATGTGTTGCTCAACATCTCCAACTCCCTGTCTCATGTGAATACAAAAGTTTCTTGTGTCATGATTGCACATTAATTCAGATTTTTTTAAATTGATTGAATTAGTTTTGTTGACTTGGCAAGTGTTTCAGAATCAAAGACCCCCACTATAGGTCAGGATTGATCCACTGTGTAATGAGATTTTTTTCTTGAACCTATAATTTCCTTATGGAGTATCTGCTCTGCATTGGCACACACTTTCAAGCTTTCTGCAAAGTCCTCAAGCAATTTTGACCCCAGTTTCTAAAGCAAATCTAACCTTTAAACTTCCATGATAACAGCAATGTGAAAGTTAAGTATTCCTGCAGGACGTGGTGAAGAAGAGTTATCTCTATCCCTTCAATACGGGGATAATAATAGTCTCTGTTTCTTTTTTCAGTCTGCACCTCTTACAGCCTATTTATTTGGATTGTACCTATTTGATTCTGTTTTTTGATAGTCTCTTCTTGATCCCTCGTGTTACATAATGTTGTCCTAACTGTGATAAGCATGAGCAAACACAATGTGAGGAGTTTAATCCAGCATGACATTGAAAAAGAGATAATATCTTGTAGGTTGTTGTTCAGAGAGAGAGGGGCACATATCCCAGGTCTGGACAGATTAACATCTTGGATGGGCCAGTCTACAACACTGCAACAACGGCCATCCAGCTGTAAGAATATTAAGCCCTCCGCTTTAATCTGCCTGAGCGGGAGGTGTGCCAAGCTCTGGTTCGGAGGCCATCCAAGAACATAGAAATGCAGAGGGGGAAAAAAAAGTTGGATGACGATTTGCTCTATTATTATTATTGACCCATATGTTGCGTGCAGGCCTGCAAATGAAGGCTTATGGACATGAAAGCAGAGGCCCTGATTTTATCCACTAATCTTATGAATACATGAGCCCTACATTCATATGATGTTTATGTCTGCATGAGCAAAGGAAGACTTCAATTCCACTCCCAAACAGCCCGGGTTTAAAGGAATGAAGGCCTAAATAGTGGGGATTATTGTCTCTCTCTCTCTCTCCCTCTCTCCCTCTCTGTCCCTAACCCTATTTTTACGCATCAAAAGCTCTGCGGCTCATTTCAGTCCCTGTTGCTGTGATGACCACAGGCATGAGCACTGCAGGCGTTCACCGAGGCTTCCTCAGGAAATATGGTAGGCCTGCTGTGATTCCTTCATCAGCGTTCACATTTCTTTCACATTATGTGATGGGCGATGAACTTTTTTTTCTAGTTGCTATTTACAAAATGTTTGTGCTACTCATCAGAGGTCAATGTCAATCTGTTTCTGTGCATGCAGAGACCGATGCATGTTGCTGTTAATCATTTGGTGCATATAACGAGTTTGAAACAAAACGTTATTTTTTAAAAGAATATTTGAAGAACTGCTCTTACAACATTGAAGAAAAGCCAAAATGAGAACAACATATTTGTAGTTTTAAAGGACCTATAGGGCCTTTGATATGAAATTAAATTTTTCCATTCATAAATCTGTTTATACTTTCAGTAGTTTTCCCCCCAAGGAGCTATATATCAGGTGTTTATTTTTCTCAGAGCTTATAGGGCTTTAGACTGAGGAGGAGTGCAGTCTCAGATCAACACTTCAGCTCTTACATGAGTGATGTCAGTCTGAGA